CATCCTTTAGACATGTGGCAGGCCCTTTTCACTGGACATTTCACTTGACCACATGGGCACTCTCCACATGGTCACCTGTGTTCATGAATTTTGAAATCATGTGATATGGCCAACACTTATGTGGTGCTTGTTTACATCTTATAAAAGAGAGAGGCTCTTGGAATCATTGGTGAATATGACAGGCCTGGGAGCCTATACCTCCCTTTCCTTTGGACACAAAGTTAGTGCAGTTTGTAGCACCAAATTAAAACTGTGGATGAGACATTTTGAATGTGGACATGAAACCCTCTGTCTCCAAAAGGGTTTCCTGTCTTCTTCTCTCAGGGCGAGGGGCCCCGGCCTCTGCTTCTCCAGCCGTCTGGGACTATTCCTATTACTGCCCACAGCACTGTATTGTAATGATGTATTTCTGTGTCTGTATCCCACACAGAACTGGAACCTTGATGTTGGGGGAGGGATTATATCTTTTCCATGATTATAGGCTGATGCCTAGCTAGCCCTTGAGGAAGGATCTAGAAGTACAATACCTACCAACATTCATTAATACAGTGAGTCTCTCCACTTGCACATTTCTGAGTGAAGAGTGAAATCTTTAAACCCAAGCATATTACATGACAAAAAATAAGTGCATCAGTTTTCCGGTGACATTTAGTGTTCCTGGTCTCTGCTTCTCATCTCATCTGACCTGTTAAGTGTCTCCCTATCGCTTAATCATAAGGCTCTCTATCCGACTGCCTCAGAGAGAGGTTTTATAGACATCCTGTCTTTGTTCTTGCCTCCTGGGAGCAGGCCTAACAATGACAATTCATTTGGCTAATTGGCTTATTGCTGTCTTTCCACTCAGCTTAACAGTGTTCATCCAACCACAGTATTCACACTCTGGCAGCCTCCTCTTGGCACTTAGACAAGCAAGTAACTGACCCTTGACCAGCTTGCAAAAGACAGGTATTAGTCGGTGCCTCTATTCATGAGCTGAGCTTTACTACAGAGGTGGTGGAGCTGCCTTTTGCCAGACTGTGGCTTATAAATGTACAGGAAGTACAGGCCAGGGCGCTTTCCGTCCTTTGGGTGCTGACTAGAGTCTTTCTCAACACTTACAGAGCCCCCAGTCTGCCTCTGTCTCAGTGCCAACAGGAAATTTGTTTTTGACCATGTAAGCATTTATCTGGCATAATTTCTGAAGCCCCAGGAAATCCCACCTGAGCACCCCCCAACCTATCCTGTCACATCTGAAATTACTTCAGTCACTAACACATCCATTTACCAATTGGAGTTAAAGTTTTAAAAACCTCTAGGAACAGTTAAATTTAGAAATATAAACTTTCTATTGAAATATAACACATGCTATAAAATGCACAGATCATAGGTGTAAATGGACCACTCATGAAATGAATGCCACGATCAAGAAATAGAACATTACCATGTCCCTAAAAGCATCCACCTTTCCCACAGCCACCACTGCCTCCAGTCTCCTCCCCCCTCACCTGTCAGGAAAACCACTCTCCTGACTTGTAACAGATAACTTTTGCTTTTGTCTTTTATATGAATAAGATCATGCTGTGTGTATTCTTTTGCATACATAATGCTTCTTTGGCTTGGCATTGCATTGCTCAGATTCTTCCATGTTGTTCCATATAGTTGTGCTTCGTTCATTTTTATTGCTGTGTAGTATTCCATGTGTGAATAAACTACAATTTATTTAACAATCCTAATGCTGATGACTATTTGGGTTGCTTCCAGTTTTTGACTTATAAATATTACTGTCATTTATAACTAATCCTTTCGAGTACATGTCTTTTGACGAATGTATGCACACTTTTCTGTTGAAAATACACTGAGAATTGCAATATATGAGACATAGGATATGTACATATAATATCAGTAGGTACTATCAAACATCTTTTCCAAGAGGGTTGTACCAATTTACACTCCCACCAGCAGCATGTAAGAGTTAAGTGATGCCACATCTTCATCAGCACTAGATCTGTCTTTGCCACTTAGCCATTCTGGTGGGTGTGTAATAATGTACATTGTGTTCTAATTTGCATTTCTCTGATAACTAGCATAGATGTACATTGACTGTTTTAATATCTTGTTTTTTGAATTGTCTGTTTAATTCTTTTGCTAATTTTTATAGGGTTTATGCCTTTTACTTAATAATTTAAAATAATTTTTTTTGTATTCTGATAATGTGCTGAATATTCATACTACAATATTTTCTCCCATCCTATGACTTAAATTTCACTTTCTTAATAAAGTCTTTTAAATGAACAAGTCCTTAATTTATTTTTTCCTTTATGCTTAGCTGTTTGTGTTTACTATCTAAAAAATTTTCCCAACATAAAGAAAATATTAGGAAATATCATAAAGATGTTTCCTTTGAAATTAACTTTTGTGTATGGTAGGAGAGAAATCAAGATTTTTTAAATCATGTTATTCTATTGACCCAGAAAAATTTAGCAAAAAGTTTATACTTAAACCTGTATCATTAATCATGGGATTATATACGTATGGATTCATTTCTGGACCATATTCAAGAAGCAGCTGTTAAACTTATTCTCAAGAAAGAATACCTGTAATCTGATTCTTTCCTCAAGTAGCATATATTGTGTATTTATTATGAACTAGGCATCATGCTAAGCATTTTAGCTGCATCATTTCATTTTAAACCTCTTCAACCCCTGGGTAGGTAGGTACTACTACTATTATCTCCATTTCATAGATAAGGAAATTAAGACTCAGAGAATTAAATAACTTGCCCAAGATCTCCTAGGTAGTATCAGACCTGAGTTAAATGCAGATCTGGCTGACTTTGAAGTATGTCTCTTTACTATCCTGTTTCTTAGAGCAGCTTTTTTTTTTGGTGGGGAAAGCAATAAAGATGAGAAGAGGGGAGAGTGATGGAGAGGAATGGGACCAATTTCTGTCACCTCCATCACGTACACAGCCTTTGTGCATATTTAAATTTTCATATAAATTGAAATAACACACCTCACAGATTGGGAACCACAGGTTCATGACATTTATTAGGCACTTTGCACATGATAGACTAAATTGTTGTTATTTTTCTATATATTCTTTCTTTCTTACTAGTCAACTTGAAAGAGTAAGGAGTGGCTTTTGCATATTTGTAACCCTGATGACAGACACTGCTTTGCCCAAAGCTGGCACTTAATTCATATCAATATTTGTGTTTTTCATAGTTGCTGAGCTGTCTTTGCTAACTTGAGATATCCTGATGAGGTACGTTTTCTATTCTGCATTAACTGTTTTTAGTTCAGATCACATGACCCACACCTAAAAGTTATTTTCTATTTTCTCTTTCAATAACTGCTGCCTCAAAGGGAAAAAAACCTGAATGGTTTGGCAGCAACAGATCTGAAATTCTTAAAATATTAGAACCAGGAGCTACTTCCCACACAATTGGTATGTTAAAAAGAAAGAGAAAGGGAGCCTGATAATGACACACGGAGAGTCAGATAGAGAGACAGCACACTGGGTCTTGCAAACAGAGAAGGACCTCAGGGTCCTCTAGACCCTCACTGGGTCTGTGGCTTTAAGTTCTATGCTTCTATTTCTAATATGCAAAATAGGACACATAACATAGCAGCACAGCCTTGTTGAAAGAGTAAAATGAAGCAACAGACAAAAATATACTAAGAATGGGAGGAAATGCTATTAAACATTAAATACTGGTAGAAAATAAACTGAATATGTACAAGGTACAGGTGTGTTTGATTTTATTGATGCTAAGTAAAAACTAAATATATAATTTTTAGATATTTACTAAAAAGAGAATTGCTTGACAAAATAATCAATATAGTATACTGTTAAATTGTGAGGCCTCCTAATGCTTCAAAGTTTTTGAACAAACGCTTTTTATTGATGTATAATCAGATTGCATTTTGAAGTCATTGAATTTACAGTAATTTAACTTAGATTTTTAAGATCTTAGTCACTGCATTGGATAAAGCAGGATATATCTATAATTTACTGTCAGAGATGGAAGGGGGACTTGAATCAATAAGGATATTGTTATCTACTGTGTAGTATAAAGGATGTAAAATGATGATTTCGTATTAAGTGCCAAGATTTTCTCTAAAGTCAGTGGTGTGCCAGTTCAATTCAACAAATATTTAATTAGTGCTTGTGGTTTCCAAGGAACCGTGTTGGGTACTGAGGAGGAAGCAAAGATGAATAGCATCAGCCAGAGGGAGACAGGACATTAACCCAGTCACTAGGTTGCAAAGCAGAACGAAACATCATAATGTACAAAAGGTAAAACAGTGATAACCTGGTGGAACGTAAAATAATTCCTTTCCCTTCCTGCGCTTCTTCCTTTCCTTCTTTTTTTCTGAACTGTTTTGGATCTCTTTGAGCACGTGCCAGGTAGCTAGTCTGCAGAGAACCAGCAACCCTGTCAAATTTCCCCTATTCTCTAGCCTTCCTTTCCTTTCATTTTTGATGAGCTCTTCTGCCACCAGCACTGCATTTGGAATGGTATCTATTGTGTGGGTGGTAAAACGAAGCAAAGTTATTTTTGTTCTTATTATGAGAACGGTTTTATTGGGCGCGGGGGTTGGGTTTGGGGGATAGAAAGAAGAAAAGCAGATCAGAGACAGCCGTTCAGCGAGTGTGCTCCGAGAAGGCGTTACTGAGGTTACTAGAAAGAGGGCGGCAGGTGATACTCGGGCAGAGTTTTTTCAAATGAGGGGTGTGGACTTAGAGCAGTGCAACACAACATTAAATACGGGTCTTCCGACGGGGTAAGGGAAAGAGCTCCAAAATAGACACCGAGGGGTGAGACTGAGAAAGCAGATAGCCTCTGACCCCACTTCAGAACCTGTTCTTTCGCCGCCTTTGTTTCCCGGGAATGTTCTGACTGTAGCACAAATTCGGGACTCCCAGGGACGGTGCCATTTAAATGTGACGCGCGGCCGAGCCGGAGCGGAAGCAGCGCCCTGTCAGGACCCGTAGTGAGAGGTGGGGAGCGGGCAGTGACAGCGCTGGCTGTGGCGGAGCGGCGCGGCCTTGGCGGACTAGGGTGGCCCTGCAGCGGCTCGTTCAGGCCGTGGGTCGTCGCTGCAGCCACCGAGAAAACAGAAAAAGACGACTCAGCGGGCGAACTTGGCAAAGCAGAGAGGCGGGGAAGGGGTGTGTGAGAAGGGTCGTGAGTTTATTTAGCGTTGGGGAGAAGGACCTGGAACTTGTACCTCATATGCTACTTGTTGGTTATCTTTTTTTTTTTTTTTAAATAGCTTCTGGAGTCAGTCGGCGTCTCCTTTCTCTCATTTCCCTCGGCCCTTGTCAGTTCATTTGTAGCGTGAAGTGAGAACATGTTAGTGCAACCACTGAGTGGAGATGGGTATGGGTATGGGATGGATGAAGCCGCCAGGGGAAGAAGAAACGGGAGAAGGAAAACCGGGGAGAGGGTGGTGTCGTGGGGTGTGGTAAGATGATGGTACTAATAGTTAACAGTTACAGGTATTTACTGTGCCAGAAACTGTTCTAAAACACTTTGTATGTGGTAATTCAGTTTCCAGTCCTATGAGACTAGTACTCTTAACTAGCCTCCTTTTGTAGATGGGGAAACTCAGGCTCACAGGTTGTAGAACCTGCTAAAAGAAAGAGAAATGAAATGTGCAGGGCCAGGGTTTACATTCTGGTGGGCTGATCCCAGAACATACCTCTAAGCAGCACCCAGCGGTTGTCCTCCATTAAGATCTTCAAGTGAGGACGTAAGACAAGGAGTGAGAGGCTGTTATGGCCTGAACAGATGTGATAGACAGGTGGAGCAAGGAATTGATATGATGGAGGGTGTGAGATCCAGGTGAGTCTGTAAGGTAAAGACAGATGTAAGCCAGAGTAGAGGTGGAACTGTGGCCTTGTAACCTTCAGCTCTAACCATGCCTAGTGCCTTCCTCTAGAATTCTGTTGGACAGGGAAAAGAGGTACACACCCACACACCTACGCTTGGAAGTAGAAGATAGTAGACTCATAGGATTTAAGGATTATTTGATGTAGCCACTGTATTTAGCAGATGATGCCCAAAGAGAAAAAATAATTTATTCAGATTACCCAAGTACCCAGGACTAGAAACATATTTTGTCTTAGGTCTAGTGCAGTGAAGCTTAGGGAGTTGTTTACTCTTTTTCCTGCTTTACTTGCTGCAGTGAATATTAAAGTTTAAAAAATTGTATATATCATTTGACCTGCACTGTTTTTGACAACCATGTGAATTGGGTATTTATGACATTAGACAAATAATTTATCCTTCCCTCATTAATATGTGTCCCAAATTCAATATAATGCTGAAACCAGGAGCTGCTTCCAACACAACCTAGTGACAGTTGAGATCGTTCAGTATTTCTGAGAATTTCAATTTTAAAAAATGGAACAAAATAAGGTTGACTAAGCCAAAGGGTAGGGTGACACCTTGCAAAAACTAAGCTTAAAAGAAAAAGGAAATCTCCACATATAGTGAAAAAAGAGGTGAATTTTCATCAACAATGTACTGTTCACAAATGCAGTAAGACTAATGGAATATAATAATCAAAATGTTAATGTATTCCAGAGAGGCAGTTTGAGGAATAGTGGAAATCATGGGCTTAAGAATGAAGTAGCCATCTATTTTCTATATATAATTGATGTACTTCATTTGCCCTTGATTTCTTCATCTCTAAAATGGAGATAATAGTTCCTAAATTGCAGAATTAGAAGTAGTGTTTATAAAGGACCTAGTATAATACCTGGAACAAAGTTGATAATAAATACACAACAAGTGTAAAGCGAAGCCCTGCTGAACTTTGTATGCAGTCACATGGCAGCTTCTAGACCTAGTTTTCAATGGAAAAGTGTCAAAGACTAGCCTCTTGTTGGCCTAGTGGTGAAAACTGTTCATTTTCTGAAGGTTAAGTCTTATTTGAAAGTGAATGAAAGTTTTAGATGTGTGGATAGTCCAGGGACAGTGAAATACCCACCACTGTCCCTTAAAACTATTGTGAGCTTTAAATAAAACTTACTTATGAACTATTCCGTTTCCTGAACAATGGGCAACTTAGGTGCTAACTAATTGACTTTATATTTTACAGATGCATGGTCATGGAGGCTATGACTCTGATTTTAGTGATGACGAACACTGTGGAGAATCTAGCAAAAGGAAAAAAAGGTAATTTTTTTTTAATCTGTGCTTCAAATTCGTTGTAGATTAAGATGAGATAAATAATACTGAAAGTTTTTGAATTGTGTATGTGAAGACAACGACGCTCTACTGAATGAATTTTTGTTCATTAAACTATAATGAATTGACTCAAAAATTTGAGAACCATTATGTGAAAAATAAAATATTTATGCTGTGAAGGGATTTGCAGAAGTAGAAAGGGGAGAAGGACTTTTTACTTGCAGATGTCATAGATAAGATGGGACTTGGTTTGTGGTCCCTTTGCTATACTTGACTTCAAAATGAGGTTAGTGTAAAGGATGAGATTGTGATACAGCACAGTTTTTATGGTTTGTGAATGAGCAGACTAAGTGATCAAGGGAAGGAGCTCATGAAAGTTTCATTGAATTGGAAGGGACAAGATCTGTCAACAGATACAGCCTGGGCCTTATAATGAGGATACTACATCTTGGTGGAGTTACTGTCTTTAAGGGCTTGGTTTTCAGCTTTTGGTGCTTAGAACCTTGATTTTATCCATTAACTTAGGAGTGGTTGACTGATTGATTAATCAAACTTAAAAGAATTGATTTATTATTTTACACTGAGAGCAGTATACTAGTTGAGACTGAACATTTTTTGTTGGGTATTCAGTCTTCATGGATAACCAATAGAATAGAAATAATTTTAACAAATTATGTTTTATGGTCCTTTACATTTTCAAGATTTTTTATTCAAAAATATTACTTTGTAAGAATAGAGTTTGAGCAAATCTAGATGGACAGTCTTCTCTGCTCTAGGGTTATATATAGGACTAATCTGTAGTCTATATTATCTATAATTAGCACTTGTTCCATATTATCAGTAACCAAAAGCTTTATTATCATTACAAACAGGGAGGTCTTGGCACAAAGATTAATTTAAGATTTTATTTAATTTTATTTAAGATTAAGATTAAGGGAGTGAAAAAAAATACGATAATGAATGACAACCAGAATTTGAACCCAGGAACCTAGGTGGTCAGACACCAGGACGTACATTTGTTACATCTTCTCCATTTTGTCGGTATAAAATAAAATTAAGATATTAATTAAGAAATTTAAGGAGACATAAATATCTTATTAAAGATCAGTGATCCCTTTTTAAGTTAAGACTTAAATGTTTAAAACATGTTCCGTTATGAAAATATAGAGAAATAAGAAATCCTTTGAGAAATATGAACTCTTTTAATAGTTTTTCTTCTTAATAAACCAGGACAGTTGAAGATGATTTACTGCTCCAAAAGCCATTTCAGAAAGAAAAACATGGAAAGGTGGTCCATAAACAAGTTGCAGCAGAATTGCTGGATAGGTATGGTATTTCAATGTAAATTACTTTTTTTCGTTTAAGATTTTTTTTTTAAACTTAGAGACTTGGAGTTTGATTATATTAATTAGAATATATATATTTGAATTTGCTTAAAATAAAATTTGTCTTAACAGGGAAGAAGCAAGAAACAGAAGGTTTCATCTCATAGCTATGGATGCTGTATCCTTTTTATACTTCCGGGTTTTTAATAACTAGTAGACTTCTAAAATTTACTTTTTCATTTTATGAAATCTTGTAAAATCAGATAGATCAATATTTTATTTTTAAACATAAGTCTGTATTGATGTGGAATTTTGCCATTTATACTTTTGAGTATGGTTCTCTTTTACTAATGTATAAAAAATATTTAGAGGAAAAAATAATAAAACATATTCCAAATGTTCAATAAATAGGCTTACAAAGTCCATGAACTTGCCAATGTTTTTTCCAACTTTTTACCAACCTCTCAACATTTCTATTTTTATACTGATCTTATCTTCTGTCTCATTTTAACTCTTATTCTCTTCCTATCTTGTTTTTTGCTAGTTAAAGTCTTTATAAGACTTGTATTAAAAGTGGGTCTGTCTGTGGACTATTCTCAGGTCTTCTGTGGCTTCAACTCTCAGGCATGAATTGGGGCTCTCTTTAGCCATACTCTCATATAGCCATGTCTCAGCTCAACTTTTTGGTAAGACTGTGGTTCATTAGAGTAACTACTGCCACTGGCCTTCCATATTATTGCATATGGGAGAGTGAAAGAGAGGCCAAGCAAGGCCTGAAGTATTTCTAGGTGTGTTATTATGTATAGTCAGGATTGGGAGAAGGAGACAATGTCACTTAGATACACTCCCTCCCAACTCTGTTATCATTGCTAATACTTTAAGTTATAGATGTTTTCTTGTCAACAATTTATTTATTTTTTATTTTTTTACCCAGTTGCTTACATCTGCCCCTTATTCCTTTAGCATTTCAACATCTTCTCTTCCTTCTCCGACACCATTCATTTGAGGCTGTTGGGGCGTCTAAAAGCCTGGCGAGAGCGAGAGTGTAGGTCTGCTTTTCTGGTGTGAGTAGAGGTAGGGTACAGTTTTTTTTGGAGTGTTTAACTAGAATAGAGTAGTTATTGTCTAAAAGTTATTTATCCTGTTAGATTGCCTCTCTCTTGGTTATACAATTAGAGAAGGCTTTTGGGACTTTGTTTTGTCTGTCCTAGTTGGTATTTCCAGGTTGCCAGCTTTTTCACCTTTAAACCTGGAATTTAAAAGGCAAAAAGGGTAAAATACCAAAAATGGTATGCCATGGGTTCCTAGCTGATATGCCTTCTCTCTCTACCTTTCAGAATCTTCTTATATTTTTTTAAATAAACTCATATAATTTCTAAGAGATTCAGCTGTTCTTCTTGGGCGGAATAGGAAACAGTACATCTTTGTCTACTCCATCTTCCTGGAAGCAAAGTCCCACCCACCACCTGTTTTGGAAATAGATGTTTTTTGGAACCACAGCTATACTCATTTGTTTAGGTGTTATCTGTGTCTACTTTCATACTAAAACGGCAGAGCTGAGCATTGTAACCGAGACCATATGGCCTGCGTGTTTACTATTTACAGAAAACGTTTGCTGACCCCAGCTCTCAACAATTTCAGTGACTTGCTATGGTCACATGACCAGTTAGTGCTAGATCAAGAGCTAGAACCCATATATCCGGATATTTGGCAGTTCTCTTTCTTCTGAAATGTTAACTGTTCTGTTTCCACTTTGGCAAGTATATTCTGATTCAATACTCTGTTAGAATACACTGTGATCAATTAAATCACTATCTTTAACATAATAGGATGTAGACACAGACAGTATTACAGAGGAAGTCAGTTCTAGTATGTGCATGTTCGCTTCTAGAGAGAGTACCATTAAGCTTTTTAAAAGAAAAAGTTTTAACCTCATGTATTTTGTTATACTTAAAATAAACATGACTGTTGATCTTTGAATATTAAAAGAAAATAGAGAAATAGCCTCTGATTTCTTATATTTACTTTTTTTTGAAAGCTTATTTTTAGAATTTAATATTATAAAAGTTGCATCTTCTATTTTTGAAGGCTTTATTATTACTGACACAGCCAAGTTATATTTTATGATAATGAAAGGTAAACTCTACTCCTTACCTTTATTTTTAGAAATTAAAATTTTTCATATTATGATGATTAAAATGAGTGGTGATATGAGGCCATATATAGTTCAGCAATAGAAAAAGAAACTTTCTCCCCATATAGAGATATATTTTATCATGAGTAGTATATGCTTGGTAAATGTTCAAAACAATATAAACAGTATTCAGTAGAAAGTGAAATCCCTGTACTCTGTAATGTTCACTCTTGATAGTTTACTATTTACCTTTTTCTGTCTTTGAATTTTTAAGCATGTATAGTGAATATTTGCCTATTAAAAAACTAAGTAGACTCATACTGTGCTTTTTTTCCTACTTGCTAGTATATCATGGACATAGCACAACTGTTGAATAAGTAAAATCCTTAATTCTTTGCATTTCAGTATCAAAGGCATACTAAGTTTGTAAATGACTATATTTTATACTATGGTGGCAAAAAAGAAGATTTCAGGCGATCAGGGTAAGTGTCATGAAGTTTATGTAGAATTGGAGGGGGCTGTGGGGATCTTTGAAAGACCCACCACTACTACGTCTTCTGATTCTTCCTCTGCTTTCCATTCTGATTTCCTTGTTATAGCGTAAGGTGGAGAGACCATCCATAGCTTCCAGCTAAGTAGCTCTCATCAATTCCAATTCTCTGGCAGTAGGTAGCCCCTATCAATAACAATTGTGTGAGGAATACACATGTCCCTAATTATGTAGGTTTTGGGGGGGTGTGGTTTGGGGTCTTTTTTATATGTGTGTGTGAGGATCCTTGAACATTTTAAACCTCAGTGTTTGGGATTGTTTTTTAAAAGGTAGGGCAGCTCTGGCTAGTGTGGGTCAGTTGGTCGGAGTGTTGTCCCATAAACTGAAAGGTCCCAGGTTTGAGTTCTGGTCAGGGCACATGCCAGGGTTACAGGTTTGGTCCCCAGTCGGGGCGCTTAAAAAATGCAACTGATCAATGCTTCTCTCTAACATCAATGTTTCTCTCCCTCTCTCTCTTCCTCCTCCTTTTCCCTCTCTCTAAAATCAATAAGCATGTCGTAGAGTGAGGATTAAAAAAATAAAGGTAGGGCAAACAAGGAACCTCACTAATATTTCCCACATATGAAATTGCTTCCTATATTTGGGGCTCTTCTTGTCAAACCCTCTTTGTTTTGTGTGGGTTTTTCCCTCTGACTTAATTTTTGGAATTAGGAGAGCCCTAAAAAACTTTATACCATGTCATCTATCCCAAATTTCTCTCTCTTCTCATTTTGGCCTATACTTCCCAACAATCCCTTGTTCTCTCCCCAATCTGTTATAGTATCTATGAAAATCATACCCTTCAACTCTCTTCCTTAGTCAATCTTCCTTGGAAGCTATAGTAAAATGAGGTATGGAAAACTATATATATTTTTTAAATTAGATCTCATTAGGGTAGGGTTACTGACTTTTCTTAGATTCTGAAACTTTACTGTCATACATTTTTTTCTACATTTAATGTTTACTCAGATTTCTCATCCTAATATTGGTTATTTAGCACCATGTGTGTAACTGAGACCAATGCCAGAGTGGATGGATTTCTTCTCCTTTTAAGTTGCTTCTGTAGTAGCACTCTTTACAGTGCCTTTTGAAAAAGTACTGAAATAGTTTTTACAAATACATGTACATATATACATACAAATAAAACTGTCTTTATCTCTGTGTATTACTTTTTTACTCAGGTGTTCAAAGATATCACAGAACTGTTTGACCTCCTAAATTTGACTAATTTTGTGTTTATATTAAATTAAAATAGTTTTATTTTCCAGGGAAAATGACAGGACAGACATGGATGTTATACGAGAAAATCATAGATTCCTATGGAATGAGGAGGATGAAATGGACATGAACTGGTAATTTTAGCCATCTGATGCTTGATGCATCACATGCTTCCATCCCGTCTCTCCTACCCTGCATAGAACAGTTCAGAATTGATGACATAAAACCATGCCTCAGATTACTGAATCTAGTTTGGCTCTTTTGGTAATTTTTAGCAGTTTTAACTGATGATTCATTGCTTGAATTTGTCTTTAAAAAATACTGTTTGTTGTTAATATGCTTCTTTTTCAGTTTTTAAAATATTTTGGGGAAAAGTAATACCTGCAAATGGTCCTAAAAATCCAAACATTAGAAATGGTAAAAAGTGAGGAGTAAGAGTTTTTCTCATGTGTGACTGTATGTCTCCTAGATTTTCTCCCTGAGAGAACAACTATAATAGTTAATATTCAGATATTCTATGCACATATAAGTAATAGATCTCTTTTAAAACATTAATAGTTATATCATATACGTTATTTATTTAACATTGCTTCCAAGTAGCAAACTGTGTTTGAATTTCTAAATGAAGATTTGTATTTTTTATGAATCTAGGGAGAAGAGACTTGCAAAGAAATACTATGATAAATTATTCAAGGAATACTGCATAGCAGATCTCAGTAGATACAAAGAAAATAAGGTATGCCTTCCAAATATTTATAAAAGAAGGTTCTTATACAAGTATAGTATTACTTTTTATTATACTGTCATGCCCCACATTATTCTTTTAAAGATGCTATTTTAGTCTAAATTGCCCTGTTTCTATGAAGTATCATTAGGACCATTTGACCTCTGCAGCTGTGGAATTTACAGAGGGCCCCTCAGTCGAGGGTGCTGCTTTGTGAGCTGAGGCAAAAAAGTCTAAAATTAAACACAAGTGGCTACTGGATCCTGATTCATCTTGACTCTAATCTAGAGCCTGTAGTGATTATAATGAATGATTTGACACAGCAGAATGATGTCTTGTTTCACAGATGAAATTGATAGGCTATCTTTTTCAAAATTGATTACCATTTATAAAGAGGCAGGTGCACATCTTTTTGTTATGTAAATGTCTAGTTTAGTAAAATTAACTCTAATCAGTTCTAATTAGTAACAGCAGATTTTCATTCCCACTTTACATCTTACTTAATATTAAAGGGATTTTTATTCCTCTCTCAAATTTCACATTTGTAGCTAAAGAATGTGACCCAAAAACAGATGATCTCAGTTTGAAATGAGAAGGGAGGGAATTTTGCATAAACCTATGTTTGGATAATGTACATTTATATTAAGAAAGACAACCTATTTAAAAGCCATCTTAAGTTTATTTATCATAAGGATTTTGTTTTCATTTAAATTGTTGAATCTCAAAACTGTGGTTGGTTTAGTTTCTCATTAGTGCCTTTAATATGTCAGTTGTCCTACAGTATTCTATTAGATAATATTAGTTTCCATTTTTATAACCCTGTTTACAAATCCATGCACTTGGGTATCACAAAGACTTCCTCAGTTTCTTGTGAACTAGCTTTCGTATCTGTACTAGTTATTACCATATTGAATCCAAAAAGCACCACAGCAATTGGAATTAGTGAAGTTACTACACTGCAAGTTGAATGTGAAAAATTGGTCTTTCTAAGAGCACATAAAAAAGCAGCCTTTCCAACCGTAACTCATTTGTTGATTGTTTTTCAGTATTGAGGGCTAGGTTTAGTGTCGTGGATTAACACATGATGTCTGCTCTTAAAAAACAAAACTATAGTTAAGGGGGGAATGTATGCCTAGTAAATAATTAACTATTTGTATTCTCCATTTAAAAGTACACAGGATATTACTGGAAATCATACTTTAAAGAGGATAATCATCCTCTTTATATTTTCCTATTAGAACATGATGAATAGTCAGATACAAGGGTTAGTGTAAATAAGAAATCAGATATGACTCAGGTTTTGAGTGTGAATACTAGAGAAATGTAAAATATGGTGGGAGGGGGGTTTTTTAAAAAAAATAAAAACTTTATTTTTTTTTTAGAGCAGTTTTAAGTTCACAGCAAAATTGAGGGGCAGATACATAGATTTCCCATCAACTCCATACCCTACACAAGGGGGAAGGTGATGACTGTTTTTTGGTATGCAATGTTTGAGGTATTGGAGACAGAGTAGTACCTTTGATTTCCATGCAAGAATGCATTTTCTCACAGTTTTTTTTACCCAAAGACAGCGTTTTATTCTTTTTTAATTAACCAGCTTCTAGCTCAGTGACTACTATATGTAGTAGATACTTAGTGCATTTTTAGTGAATTCCAACCTTTGTCCCACACCTCCGTTTCCTTCTTTTCTTTCGTCGTTGACAATTTGGTTGGATCCAGTTAAGATCAGATTCACATGCAGGGAACAGCCGCACTCCCAAAGAACATTGGCTTAAATGAGCTAGAAGTTTATTTTTCCTTTACATAAAAGTCCAAGTAGATGTCATGGAACCTTGCATTGTCAGGAATTTAGGATCCTTCTCTCTTACTGCTTGCATATGTGAGCTCCTTGTGCTAGAAGGTAGAGTAAGAAGAAGTTCAGCACCAAGTCTTGAGTAACTCCAGTTTTTAGTCAGACCTATCAGCAGGAAAATTTACATCTTCAGGAAAGAATATAAAAACATATTGAGGCAAAACCTCTATGTAATCTTTACTTACTAGTAGGACATATTGCAGTTGCTTGTGACATTTCTTACCTCCCTATTAGATTAAAACCTTCATGGTGACAGACACTATTTTAATAATCGCTCTTTATCCTTGGCAGAGTGCTAAGCCCAATAAAGAGTTGCTTAATAATTATTTGTTGAATGGATTAATGAATGAAACAGTTTGGGAACTGTTACGTTATACATTTGTGCTCTAATAGACATCCCAATGTATGTTGAATGAAAGGCAATCCTCACATACATGTATAGGTTTAAAAATAAAATTAAACAGTTATTTTGAATTTTCTGGGCTGGAAAGATATTATTTTCTTTAGTTTTTTTTTCATTTATTGAATTTTTAGAGAGAGAAACATCAATTTATTGTTCTACTTACTAATGCATTCTTTTTTTTTTTTCAATCTTCACCAGAGGATATGTTTTTCATTGAGTTTAGAGAGAGAGGAAGGGAGAGGGAGAGAAAAATCAATGTGAGGGAGAAACATTGATGGTTGCCTCCCGCATGCACCCCGACCGGGGATTGAACCTCTAACCTAGGTATGTGCCCTGACATGGGATCGAATCAACAACATTTTGGTGTTTGGGACAGTGCTCCAACCAATTGAGCCATCTGGCCAGGGATGATTCTTGTATGTGCCCTGATCAGGCATTGAAACTGCAATATTGGTATACTTGGATGATGCTCTAATCAACTTACCTACCCAGACAAGACTATATTCTTTGGGTTTTAATCTGAATAATTTGTAATATTTTGTGCTCTCATTTGCATTTAAAATACAAGATTGCCTCATTCAAGTAATAGATGATTTAAAAAAATAAAAACAACAAAGTTAACCAGGCATCAAACACTTCATATGAATTATCCTTCTTAATACAAACAGCAACCTATGAGATTAGGAATCTTATAATAAGGAAGGAGATTGAGAAGGTAAGTTACTTTCCCAAGGTCATAGAACCAGTTAATGAATGGTAGAGCTTGCTTTTTTTTTGGGTCTTCATAATTGTGGAGCTTGGCTATTTTTTTAATTGATTTTATTGGGGTGGCATTGGTTAATAAAATTCTATAAGTTTAGGGGTATAGTTCTCAAATATATCATCTATATATTGTATTGTGTGTTCACCACCCCAAGTTGAGTCTCCTTCCATCACCATTTATTGAAGCTGAGCTTTTAATCATTATAAAAGTAAACTGAATAGAAAACTACACTACTAACTAGAATTATGGTAAATTAGCACATGAATGTGAAAGATCTTAAAAGGCAGTGGAGAAAATCATTTTTAGCACACACAAAAAAGTTGTATTTAGGAATCTGAAGGGAAGTTTAACAACTGTCTGCCTTAGGCTGGTACAATTACTCTTTCCTGTTCATGACTATGCAGTTGTAGTGGGTAAAGAGCCACCCATGAATGAGCGGATGTGGTTGTGTTTCAGCAAAATTTTATAAAATAGGCAGCTGGCCTATGGGCCATAGTTTGCTAACCAGTGGTATACTATGTACCGGGCACTATTCTAAATACTTAAATATATTATCCCATTTAAACTTCTTAACCCAAAGAGATAGGTACTCATATTACTTCTACTTTACATATGAAGAAACAGGAACAAATAGATTAAATAACTTCTGTAGTATTTTACATAGCTGTTAAGCGGTAGAGCTAGGAAGTAAACCCAGATAGTCTGACTCCAAAAACTGCACACTCTTGCACAATATTATACTGCCTCTTTACTGTACCATAACCTCTTTTTCTGTTTTTTTGTCAGTATTATGAAACAGGTTATACATTGTTTTTTTATTAGTTGTGATATCTTGTGGTTTGGCACCTAAACTCTAAAAGAAAAGAAGATTGTTTCTTAACAGATAACTTGGTAATCATTCAAATGTATTGTTAAGTACCTGGAGTCCTATACAGAGAGAAAAAGCTATCATGATGGGAATTAGGTTTATTTTTAGATTGATAAATGTCATTATGTCAATTGTTGGCTCCCTGTTTAGACTTATATACAATTTAAATAATGCTTAAATTTACTTTGGCATAACTGTAATTTTTTTCTTGTCAGTTTGGATTTAGGTGGAGAGTAGAAAAAGAAGTAATTTCAGGAAAAGGTAATTTTTTTTATTTTACTTTTTAATAGGAGAAGGTTATTTTTGTTACATTATTGAATTGAAGTCATTGGGTAAGATTATTCCTAAGGTACACAGTGAATGATTATCTACAAAAGTAAAATTAGAAAAGATATATTCAGGATATATTACAAGCAGAGGTCAATATAATGCTTTAGATTTTTACCTTTTGAATTTTTGCTTTTAGGACATGCAGTCGAGGAAAAATAGAAAATGTTTAGAGTTAAAAGATTTTATAGCAAGTTAGTTATCAATGGCTAAATACTTGAGTTTTTCTCTTTATCAATTTTTGGAATAAGGAGTTGGTATTACTGTCTTCCAGTCAAATCCGCATTTTGAAAGTAGAAATTAAATATCACTTTGAACATAATAGAATTTTTGGACTGCTAGTTCTTTTAGGGAGTCTCTGAGATTGAGCCCAAATATTTAGTTTTACTGCAAAAGACAAGACATTTGTTACGCAATCGGTAAATACTTTTTCTATGCATTGTTTTAACCTATTCATGAATTTTTTTCTGAATACTTAATATCTCTATACTGTATCTTGCTATAAAATTCTCTCTTTATCAATTATTGTATTTTTAATTGCAATAAAAATTAATGTCCTGAAAACTACAGAGGAGCATTTAGGAAATAATTTTTAAAATAATTCTATTTATTTACTTTTTCAGAAAGAGGGAAAGGGAGGGACAAAGACAGGGAGAGAAACATCAGTGTGTGAGAGACACATCTATGGTTGCCTCTCACACGCCCTCACCGGGGAACCTGGCCTGCAACCCAGACTTGTGCCCTGGCTGGGAACCGAACCGGCGACCATATGGTTCGCAGGCTGGCACTCAATCCACTAAGCCATACCAGCCCAGGCAGGAAATAATTTTAAACTAATAACTCTAAAAATTTTTTAACTGAAAATAAAGGTTTCATTTTTTAAATGATTAAACATAACACCAGTGGTTCATATATATATCTCCCATAAATTGGGTATCTATGTCAGGTGTAAAATTAGATATGCAATTAAACAGTAGGAGTTTTTTTTTAATATATAATAAATATCAGCCCTGAAGCTACTTTAGATGACAAGGAAAATAATAAATTTAAAGCTCTATAAACTTTTCTTAAGATTATCTTTTAGTTTGTTTTCACCTAAACCAATGAGATATATTGAAATGTCTATCACAGTTTTAAAATTTTTTACTTTTACTGAATGGAATTTTCAGATGATGGTAAATAATGCTGCCTTTTAAAAAATTGATGGATAGTGTCTGAATTCATGTAACTGAAGAAAAAATTAGTTGGGAAGGGGAGAAAATGCTACTTCTGTGATTTATAAAGTTACAATTTTGTTGCTGGTTTAACAATAGAGCCATTACTGAATATGTACAGATTTAATAAAGTATACATTTGGAATAAGTGAAAAATGCCATGTTAGAAAAGTTACCAGCCTTTTTGACTCATAGTTTTCAAAATTTGTTTTGATAATTTTTTTGCGGGGGATGGGGGAAGTTCAGGTTCCTGTTGGTGCAAATTATTGAAATACAAATTTTTTACTTGTTTGTACAAATAAAAGTTTGATCTTTTTTTCTGTCAAAGTTAATAATGTGTTTCCTTTTTTCCCCCCTCCTTGGATCATCAGTATTAATTCCTTTTTTGCAAAAGGTTTTAATGTACAATTGACATGATAATGTAGTATTGATTTTAGTGTCAAGTGATTTTAAAATTTAGAGCATGGGGTTTGTTTACTTATTCTACTTATCTCAAAGTGCTAGCATTTTAAAATGTGCTTTAAATGCCATTTTATGCTGATACTTAAATGCCATTATGTTAATACTTAAAAATATCAATTTTGATATTACTATTAAATATTGAAAAGGATTCACCTAGGTGTATGTGCATGTACTTTGGGAAATACATTTATTCTTTTAAAGGATTAATGACTACACTCTTAGTATTACTATTTTCCAAAATGTAAGATTCCCTAATGGAGTCACTAAAACTCTATATGTAAACATAAACAGTCGACCTATCTATTGAACAAAAATTCTATGACTGATTTTTTTTTTAACAGTTGATTCAGCTCTTTAATTTTATACTTGTATGCACGTTTGTTGAACATTTATAATTGTTGTGGACATTTGTTTATTAATGCTGACTTTGTAGAACTAAGAGTTTATATATGTTAAGAGTAAATATCAGAGATACCAGATAATATAGATAAATATTACTACCTAGCATAGCTAATAATTCCTTCCTTTTTTGCAGGCCAGTTTTTCTGTGGAAATAAATATTGTGATAAAAAAGACAACTTAAAGAGTTGGGAAGTTAATTTTGGTTATATTGAGCATGGAGAAAAGAGAAATGCACTTGTTAAATTAAGTAAGTTGACTCTAGGTTGGATATGATTGGTTTCTTCAAAGTTTAATAATTGAGATTTAAAAATACATAGACTAATATAAGATTCAGTTCAAAAATTTTAATGTATATTCTTGTAAGTGCTCTTTTTCTCAGAGCTTCCCAAATTCATGAACAATGTTTGAGCCTAAAATTTTTATATTCTCAGCATTATGGTGACATTTAGGTGAAACAGTTCTAATGCCAAATGTAACGCCATTTGTAAAGTGAAGATCTCTTCTCATTAACTTGAGTATGTCACCAATGTAATGTAAGATGCATAGTATCAGAAAAAGCATTGTAAAATCTCACATTAGCTCATAGCCATATTGTTGTGGTGGGGAATAATAAATACACTCTCTCTTTTTGACTGTGTCAATAAAGAAAAAAATTTTAGGAGGGCATAATTGTTCTTCATATCAGTCTTAAAAGCTTAAGGTTATACCCCAGAATATAGTAGTTTCTCTTAATATGCATATTTTAGAATCTGTCATTCATTCTTTATTTTTTCCCCCCTATGTTGATGTGTCAGCTTCTTCTCCATCACATTAACAGCCTTCCCTAGGTCTTAAATAAATGTGCTCTCGGAGTCATCTGCCTACTCCAGAAAGAAGCCATGAATTTCCCCACATGCTACTGGTGTCTGAGTCCCTCCTGGAAGTGCTCAGGAGGAAAAGTCAACTACTGTGAACTGAGATTAAGGCAAAAGAAGAGGCCACAATTATGGAACTTTTTGAAAAGCTCTTTTCCATTTGAAAACTCTTAGAGCACTTCAGAGGAAATGACTATACCCACACTATTGTTATTAAATATCTTTGTTGTGTGGCTGCCTATTGCTTTTAGAATAAATTGACGGCACATTTTTCTGAAGTAATGTTAGAATGTCAGTTCCTCAAGCATTCTAATATTTATTATATATATGCATTTTTCTGAGGTGGAGAGAATTGGATTGTTTTCTTCAGATTGCTACTTCTCTTACTGAAAAAGATGTAAGGAAAATGATAATTTATGATACTAAAGGTACAGTAGCAGTGCAGTTATTCAAATTCAGCTGTGTAACTTTTTTTTTTTTTTTTTTAGGACTATGCCAAGAATGTTCCTTTAAATTAAATTTTCATCACAGGTAATATTATCTCTTAAAATGCCGTTGTTAATGTTTAATAGTTTGGATGTAATCACTTACCTGCACTGGATGTCTAAATGTAGATGTGAGTGGTTGATGGTTTAATTAGTTGATTATATAGAATATCTGGCATCACTTTATGACCACATAGATGAGGGAAGTGGAAGTTCACCATGCCTTACTCTAGCCAAACAGTTTTAAATGTGAAAGCCTTTGCAGGTGGTAAGTAAATCATAGAATTTTTAGTTTGGAGGCAATGTTTGGATTCCATAATATTCTTAGAAACTATATTATAAAACAGATTTTCATAATGTAATTCTCATGTTTCATTTAAAGTGTTTTAATTCGAGTTTGTCAATATTTGTCTGCATATCGAGTGGAGGGGTATCAATGGTCTGTAATCTGCAGTATATATAAGATCATGGACTTTAAAATTAGACCCCTGTGTATTCCTCTCAGCTACTCCACTTCCTAGTCATCTTTGTGGGCATGCTGCTTAACCTCTGTAAGACTCAGTTTTATCATCTCTAAAATGAGGATACTAAGCTTATTATGGGGATTAAATGAAAGTATGTAAAGTGCTTGACACAGTCCCTGGCATATAATAAATCAAACAAAGTAGAGTCCTTGGCATTGAAGATGTTCAAAATATGTGTGACCTGTCAGGATTGTGGTGGTCAGGTTTCATATTCTGAATAACAGTGAAAGTCTGAGAGTAAGATTCTGCAGCTTTATAACATGTGTAAGTTAGTATATTAATTTTAATATCAGCTATGTTATAAATATATCTTATCTAATATTTTAGCTATTAAAATAAATATTAAATAATTTTTTTAATTTTTAAAATTAGCAGAAATTTTTAGGTTACTTGAATAGCCTAACCCATTATTTTCCCTCTGTATCAATGATACTGAACAATATCAAAGATGTTTATTTGATCTTGACTTTCAAGCTTTATTTCAAATGATTCTTATGAGAGGTAAAAAACGGTTACTCTCTTAAATAATATAGCACTTGACACAAGTACCTTAATTTTTGGGAAGTCTAATAAGTTTTTTGAAAGTAATCCTCTCTGTTGTCTTTTCATCTTCCTTTCCTTGTCTGAGTTTCAGCATTATCACCTTTTTCTATAAAGTATGTCTTTTCTTAGCCAACTAAAATCAATTGCCTGCCAGACATGGCACTGACAACCTTATAAATCTGACCTAGAAGAAATAAAGCTACAGCAGTAAAAGGATAAATAGTCTAAGGTAGATATATGAGTTGACAACAAGTCCTTCCACCCTCATTCTATCATACTTTCACTAAAGGGTGTGGCAAAAGTAGGTTTACAGTTGTGAGTTTGTGAAACACAGAGTTTATTCTTGTATTATTATTTATTAATTATTGTATTATTTTCCATACAAACAACTGCAAATCTACTTCCCTGCATCTGGTATATTCTTTTATTCTTAAAAGGAGAATTTTCTATTTACTGGTGTTGTAGAACTATCACAGTAGTTTCTTTTTGTTGTATGTGTGTGTGTTTTTTTTTTCAAAGTGTAGGCAGCTATGAATTATGTAGAGGGAAATGAAATTGTTTTGTAATTTTAAGTGGATAAATAATAGAATATAAAAAGAAGGAAATAAGTAAAACTATGATTTATGTTTGAATACAGAACTTATACAAAATAATTCTTTGTCTCAGAGTTTTCAGGATTTATTACTTTGTAGAACTATCTTAAATAAAATACTAACCTAAAATATTTACAGACTCATTTAAGAGTTTCTCATTATGTAAATTATATTATAAAAATAAGTACTTTAACTTGTTTTAATATTCATTTTTTGCTGATTTTTTTTTTGTAAAGGTCAGTTGGAAAAGTTAACTTTAATTTTGTATTGTTTAACATAAAGGAGAAAAGAAGTCAAGTCCAAAAAAAGGAAGGATAAAATCAATAAAGATTGTAAAGAGTCATCACATAAAAAATCCAGATTATCCCTTGCAGAAGAGACCTCTAAGGAAATGGATAAAGGTAAAAGGGAATATCTACTCACATTTCTGAACATGAAGAACATGAAGTAATCTTCCATATGTTTTAAATGTAGAACTTAGTTGGTGAATGTATTTAGAATTCTTTTATAGTTTTATAGTAGTTGAAAGAAATCTGGTTGGAGAATTCAGATATGAATTTACAGTAACTTATAGGAGTTTCAAGAACAAGGTTGGTTTTGATTCATTTTTGGCAGATGGTATAATATTGCAAACAACCTTCTAATTCCTGGATTTGTCACTTAAAGACTTGTTACTTTGAGCAAGTTACTGAACTTCTTGAGTTTTACTTTCATTATGTAAATAGGGGTGGTATGACAATAGGGATGATTGGCCTCTGTGCTGCCTGAGCTTATAGTAGAGAGTCAAATAAGAATGTGAAAGGCACTTTGGACATTGTAAAACAGTACAAAATCTGTAAGTCAGTATAAAATTGTAACACTGTGATTTCAGTTGTTATGGTCTGTGAATTTCTCACTAGTTTATGAGCTTCTTGAAATGATAGAGATTGATAGAATGTGTCATCAGAACCTAGCATGGTGCTGTACATATATGCTGAGTAAATAGTTAATTAAATTCAAATGCATTAATCAGCCACTTATTTCTTTCCTAGCAATCCTTAAGCTTTGTAAGCTTTCATTTCTTCATGTGTAAAATGGTCATGATAGTAGTACAATAACCTAGCTCATAGAATTGTTTAGAAGTTAAGATGAGATAATACATGTAAGCAGTTTGCTTTGTACTTGCCACAATTAGCTATTATGAAGGTTACTGGTAGTTGCTTTTTCAGTCCCTTACAGAGTCAGATATATTGCATAAATTATTGACTGTAATTTAGAGTGAGTCGGACTTGAATTATGTAGGTTATAGTAGATTGAATGAAATTCAGTCCACTGTTAACATAGTACTTCGACAGGAGAGGGCTCCCGTGCTCCACCTGTGAAGACCTTTAGCGAGGTGACATTCTTACATGCATATATTTCTCCTTGCATATCATAATCTATTTAAACATATAGAACTGCCAAGTTTTAGACTTAGTAAAATTGATAGATGGTGAGAGGAAAATACTATTATTCTATTGTTTATTGAGGAATGGTGTTTGAAGCAGAATGCCTTTTGGTCTCTATTTTAATCATTAACTAACTCCTAAATAAATTTTAATTTCATTTGAGTTTTTAAAAATTTTTCATTTATCCTAGTTTGTTAGTAAGATATTTGAAAATTTTGTTGCATTCATTATTGTATTATATAATAGCATTGCATTCATATCATAGTATGGTACCATGTTGATCACTGCATATTCCAAATTAAAGAAGAACTAATCCTATTCTTGTAAAAAGTATTTAGTACCTTCAAAACAGATAATTAGGTAGCTGGTTACTTGGGGTTAGGGATGGTTGGACCTCTCAGGTTATACATACACATACATGTGATCTTCCTTATAAATATTTTTACTTTAGTGTTCCATATTTTAGTAGACGACATCTCTGTCAACCTTAAAAGTAGTATCAGAAATCTGGGCACTATCTTTGATGCTTCCTTTTTTCTCACTATTTATGTTTAATTTGTCACCACGTTCTATCAGTTTTACCCCCATGGTATATATTTCTCAAATTCTCTCCACCCTAGTTCAAACCACCACGTTTTTTCATCTAGGCTACTGCTCTATATTCCTTACTGGTTCGTTTACTGTCTTGACTTCCCACCTTCCCTCCTCTTAGTCTGTGTGCCATAAAGCAGTGATATCCTGTTGTTCTTAGGATAATAACCAAAATTCTGCACAACGTTCAAAGGCTTTATATGATCTGGCATACAAGGCTTTTTTCTCATCACTCCCTTCTTCACTTTCACACTTTACCCAAATAGCCTTTCAGTTTCTGGAAATTTCAAACTTCTTTTAATTTAGGGACTATGTAGATACTGTTTCCTCTCTTCCTAAGACCCCCAGTCCTATCCTAACTCATCCTTCAGGTATAAGCTTAAATGTCACTTCCTTAGGGATCCTTTCCTGACTCCATTCCTGACCACAGATCTAATAATAAATTAAGACTCCCATTCATAATTATATCACAGTCCTGAAACTTTTCCTTAATAACCTGTATAACAGTTACTTGAAAGCCCAAGGAAGGCAGGGATACTGTCTACTGTGCTCATCAGTACATCCACAGCACCCATTAGCACATGTTAGGCATAAATAATAAAAAATAAGAAAATGAAAGACTTTGAAGGTTGTTTCAGGCAACTTCAGAGATAGAAAACCAAAGCAGAATGGAAATGAAACATCTTATTTATTCTTTATTCAGAAGAACTTTTATAGCATAGAGTACAGGATATGATTCTTTTTTCAACTTACATGATATAAAGTAGAAAATGGCAACCGTTTAGCAAACTTATAGGAAAACTGTATGAAACTCTTCAATATCTCCTTATCTGGATCTATATTGATTTTGATGTGATACTTTCTTGCCAGTCCACCTTAATTTGGCCCAAACTTGAATTGTAATGAATAAATGCTTAATAGATGTATTTGGACTGTTGACACTCCTTCTCAAAACAATCTACTTTCTTGATTTTCTTCCTGTCTTTCTGGCCTCTTCACCTTTTTTGACTACAGTTCCTCAGTCTTACCCTTAGATGTTGAGTTGCTCAGACTATTATATAACTTCCTCTCTCTCTCTCTCTCTCTCTCTCTCTCTCTGTTCTTCCTGTGTGATCCCATCTATCCTCATAGCACCTTGTTATCAGTGGATGGATGGATGGATGGATGGATGGATGGATGGATGGATGGATGGATGGATGAATTGGATGGCTAGTTGGCTGAATGAATGACTAGAGAGGAAGTTTAAGACAGACAGACCAGTAGCCTGACTTCAAAGGCCAGTCTGCTTTGGAAGGTATGAACAAGGTACTTAGGTAAAATGTCTTGACAGAAACTCCAGCATCTTAACCCTCCTACCACCACCCCATCCCCAAGCTCCATTCCTTGGAAAGGCCTTTCCTAACACCCTTCACTCCACTCTTCCAGGCAAAGTTAGGTTCCTATTAGACATTTCAGTAGCACCCTACACTTCTCCTTTGGAAGAAATCATTGGATAACCATTGTAGAATTGAATTTTTTAGTTATATGACATAATTATATATGTGATTTTCAGTTACTGAGAACTAATTCTTACCTGTGCCCTTGAAAAAAGTACTGTGAAAAATGAGTATTTATTTGTAAGTGATTTTCAGATGTTGAACATCTATATAGATAAAGTATTGGTTCTATTACAGTTAATCTATGGGTTGGGTTTTTGGGGTTTTTTTTTTTTTTAGTAACATAAGATATTTTTTTACAGGTACTATTTTTTAAGCTTTGTGCTAGGTATTCCAGCCCATATGAAGGCATAAAATATCCCTCAAAAGAACTTAACATTTTGATTAGGGCAATAGATAAGTCTAAGGAACATGAAAGATTGGAAGACTGTGAAGTGCTTTTCTATAAGACTAAACAATAACTAGACTATTGAGAAGAACTGTTCCACCACTGCAAGATGATTATTAACAAAACAATGATGTTTTCTTTTCAGGACATACATCCTCAAAGAAATCAGAAGATTCTGTAAACAGTAAGTATCAAGTATCTCTTTATTAAGTATCAACTATCTTTTTATTTAATAAAAATATGTAGATTCAAGTTATTTGCAATTTAGGTTTCCCATGAATTGTAACCTGCTTAGATGTAAATTATTTTTTATTTTTGTACTATGTGAGAAAATTATAGAATAAGACCAATTGTGTATAATTTTTTCCCCAATTTAGAACATTTAAAAGTTTCTTATTTTAAGTATAGAAGAGCATAAGATTTTTCTCCAGGAATACAATGTGTATACATTTCAATTTTACATTATGGAATATGAAGGAAGAGAAATGGAGGAGTGGAGTTGGGTTGGAAAAAGATTTGGGGAGGTAGATTAAGATTTAAGAAATGTTGCTTATATTGCACAGAACTGAGTTATCTCTGTCATCTGGTGATTTTGATTGATCAAGTGAAGTGTGTGATTTGTGCATGGGAAGCAAATGTCTGCAACTGGCTGTTACTAATTAGTTTTTTCATAAGTTATATGATTTTTCACAAGATTGAATCAAACCAGGTTGGATTTGATTGAATATTCACTACAAATTTTCTTATTTTTCCCTGCACCATTCCAAAAAGTATTCACAATGACTTACAAAGATATATAAAATGAAATTTTTTGAAGATGACAGAAGAATGGAAAAATAATATAGAATAGCAAAATAAAGCTATAGGTAAAATCAACACAGAAAAATGTTTACCAAAAAGTCCTGCATAGTTGCAAAGGTAGATCACAGATTCATTACTGTTTTTCCTTTTTAAAAATATTTTTTAATTTTTTAAGTATATTTTATTGACTATGCTATTACAGTTGTCCTATTTTTTTCTCCCTTTTATCCCCGTCTGCCCTGCAGCCTCCATCCACCAGCATTCCCTCCCCCACTTAGTTCATGTCCATGAGTCATGTGTATAAGTTCTTTGGCTTCTCCATTTCATATGCTGTTCTTAATTCCCCCCTGTCTCTTTTGTACCTATGAATTATGCTGCTTATCCCCTGTATCAGGCATACCTCAGAGATATTGGAGGTTCAGTTCCCAAACACCACAAGTCAGCCAATATTGCTATAAAGCAAGTCATAATCTTTTTGCTGTGGAGGGTCTTGCCTTCAGTTTGAAAAAAAAAAAAAAAGCAACATCTGTGAAGCACTATAAAGCAAAGCATAATAAAATGAGGTATGCATGTATATAAATTGCCTATGGTCAAGTAGTTGGTTAATGGCAGAACTGGGATTAAACACAGATTTGCAAGTCTGTGACCTTTTATGTATATTATTAACTGTTCATCAGTGAGTCAAATGTAAATCTAGTCAATACATTTTGGCAGATACATTATATAAATCCACATTAAATGATATGCTCTATCTGTGTCTCAGTTCTATTGGTAAAGTGGGTATAAAGAGACTTCACTTTGTTGGATTATTATGTCTAATGAGATAACGTTTGTGTAAAGCATGTGTCTGATACAAAGTAGGTCATTGATAACTTGTAGCTAAAATTGTTATAATAGAAAAGAAAAATACCAGACATTAAACAGATTCTATATTTGTTCTCTAAAATGGGTCAGATTAAAAATTAAGTTTGTAAAGGTCTGATCTGTTGATTTGTTGTCATAATTGGAGATTTGCCACTTCTTCAGTAGGCCAAGGTATATGGGTATCATGTAATGTCCAGGAAAATCAAGATGATAGACCTGCCTTTATTTCTCAAAGCATGAGGAAAATTGTATGAAGTTTGCTTCACATTCTAAAGGGAATGTTGAAAACTTAAAGCAGTCAAGAATAGAACAACCACAGTTTTGACGCAACTTGAAATTGTGTCATGGGAAGAAGGTTGAAGGAACGGTGGATGTTTATCTTGGGGAAAGATGAAGGACTGGGAGGAAAGGGTAAGGAGGTAGACATGGAAATGAGGTATTTGCTAAACCACTACTATGGGGGAGATTTATTTTTGGTGTGTGGGGGAAAGGGGAGAACACCCCTACCCCCTGCCTCCTCTGCACCTTTCTTGAATTCTTAATGCTGGACTAACAATAAAATGGACATAAGATTAGGTTAACAGGAGAAAAACATGCATGTGGGAGGTCATAATATGATGTTCAAATCATAAAATGAGGCTCAAAGAAATGATCAAACCAAGTATCTTTTATAATTCTTAGACAAAGAAACAATAAATTAGTTAAGGAATTGACAGGACAAAAGGGGAAAAAAAGTGCTCATTAGAAAGGAATGTAAGCAAGGTTTGGGTACTCATTAATGAGGCATTAAACAAAATGTGGGCTTGGGTAGTAAATGAGAAAAGAGAAGACAATGTTTGCACAGATTCTTTGGCTCTGGGTTCTTTAATTCTGATAAAGGAATTCTTGGCCCCCAGGTGCAGGGAGGGTAGCTTTCGCTGGGAGATTTATTCCCTGCTTTTAGGGATAGAGAGGTCAGGGTATTTTTTCAATGGCAGCTTCCTAAGTAACTTTATCTGAAAATAATATGCCATTGTGAGATATCTTGGGACTCCCTGACTTGGACCCCCAGAGGTGACTGAATGGAAGAACTAGAGTCTATGGATAAAAATTGCAGAGGACAGAATTTGGCCTTAATTTAAGGAAGAAAAGAATGGGGGAATGTGCCGCTTCAGGAAGTAGTGAAGTGTTTGAGCATAGATTGGACAGTCACCTGTTACCAGAGATGTTACAATAAGATTCATTGGCTAAGGGCTGGATTAAAGACCTCCATGATCCCCTTCTAACACAGAGAGTCAAAGACTTAAATTTTGACCCCTAGTTGCTAACAGATTTGCATAGGTTTGACACTGATGCAAGAGCATCGTTTTGTATTGTTCATTATACTAATTGTTAATTCTTTAGGAACACCCCTCCCACCTCTGGCAGGTTATAGCAGTAATAGGAATGATTTATAGTTATCGTCACCCTCAGGGAAATAGGAGATTCTAGATACATGGCACTAGTTCTAAGGGACTTGAAAGGACGTGTAGTCCAATCTTGTAGATTTACTTCACAAAGGAAATTGCGCCAGTTTTTCAGCAGCTGCTCCCTCAAAGAGAGTTATGTTATAATGTTATTCTAAACTGATTTGATTTTTTTAAGGAAAACTTGATTGTCTCCTATCAGAAAACTGGTGTTGGAAGGCTGGCATCTGGGAAGTGCTCTTGAGAGGGACTATGAGAGCAGGTGGCTGTAAGGCCTTTTGAAATTAGCTGTCCACTTTCAAAGGCATTGTAAGATTTGTTCTCTTACACCATTAACAGGGTTACACCATAGTGATAACTTTATTAGGCCTACTTACTTTTTCTGTGCTTTCTTTTTCCATAAAAATAAGAGAAGAAAACTTTTAATTCTTATTGCATAATTCAGTTTGGGACACTGGCTGTCATTGAATAGGAGTCTTGTTCCAAAGGCTTTATAATTTTATCATCATTGTATGTAGATCATTAGAAATCCACCCCCTTCTTTTTAATCCATTTTTGTTAAAATTTGTGCCAGAATAGATTGAGTTAGGACCAAAGTTCAGATACACATATTGATTCAAGGAGCAAAGTCCAACAGGTGAAAGGCTAAAACCACTGTGGCAAATCAGTGCTGTTTTATTTTTGTGTTGTGTTTAACTAAGGGACATGCTGTTTAACATTCTGTACTGATAGACCAAATTTGTGTCAGTTCTTATTTAGACTAATGGTCATTATTGGATAGGAATTATTTACTACTGTAATTACTTTGTGGCATATAATTTTATTGCCTCATAATACACTTTTTAGTACTTGATAATTTTTTAGTTGGCTAATATAGGGTGATTGATTTGAAACATTTTGCCATAATTTAAAAATAGATGTATCTTTATTATTTTTAATTATTTTAAAGGTAATATTTGATTGCTTAAAATCCAAAAGCATTGAAAATGCTTAGAGTAGACAGTGAAAATATCCCAGGCCCACAGGTAATATAATCACTGTTACAGTTTGGTTGGTCCTTACATACTTATAATACAGTTATATGCATAACAAATATAATTCCATATATATCTATATGCAGATATATGCATAATGTTTTAACCATAAATTGGATTACATTGTGCATGCATTCTGCAACTTAAAAAATTTAACCTAACACGGACATTTTTCCATGGTGATGCATATAAGTATGCTAAGGTCTTTTTAACAGCTGTATAGTATTTATTCAACCAATCCTTAATCCCTAATTAGTGGGGATTTAGGTTGTTTGTTTCTGTTGTTATTATCATAAATGAACATCTTTGTACATAAACCCGAGGTGCTTATTTTAAGTAAGTAATTAAATTCCTAAAAACAGCATTGCTGGTCAAAGGGTATATACATTCTAAACTAATCTATATTACTAGATTTCCCTCAAGAAAAAGTTTACAGAAATTTTATTCCTAACAAAAACATATAAGAATTCCTGTTTCTTCACTGAAACAGGTGTCTTCTAATTAATATAATCAACATTCATTTTAAAAAATATCTTTCTTTTCATAATTTAACTAGCTCAGTCCTATTTATTAATTCAGTTTTTGAGGTCTTGATCCTAAAGTAAATATATGCTCTCTACAAAAATCTTAACTTGCATGTCTTTTGTATGGCCAAAAAAATAAGAAACTAAATCAAAGACAACCATGTATATTACAAGAGATTATTCCTTTACAACAGTTAATATTGGAATTGCTACTTTTTATAACTTAAGTTTTCCATGTGCTGTTGACTTTTTGGTCTTTTTACTGGGACTCTTAGGTATGTCTCAGCTTATTTATTTATTTTTAGAAAGAATTTATTTGGTCTGAAAGAGTGAATTAAATTTCCAGAGAGCCATAAAAGTTGAAGCTAAACTGCAATTAAATCTGAAGTTAATTTAATTGCATTGATGGGTAGTTCAAAATGTGTTTTATTTATAATAATCACATTTTTAAAAAAAATCTCTTTTAAATGAACAGGAAACTCTGATGAGGAAGAAAGTACCTCAGAATCTGAACTTTGGAAGGGCCCACTACCAGAAACCGATGAAAAATCACAGTAAGTTCTTATATAAATAGATAATACATACCCTTTACAACAGTTTAGGAAGCTATGACTACAGCCATTCTTGACAACAGTTAATGAAAAAACTTACCATCATGAATAACTGTTTAATGCCAAGGATCACCTAACCTGGTAAGATCAGAGATTATTCCCAGCCATTGTTTGTGGCCATAAAGATCCAACTTGTTCAGCTTCATCTTGGTGAGTAAATCTTTCCTCAACTCTAATAGGTGACCTGGTTTTTGCTTAGATTCCTTCAGAAAATGGTTGTTTACTAGCTTCCAAAGTCCATCAACATATTCTGACCATCATAAACCTGTACAGGGGAGCTACTCAAAGACATATACCGGTGTAAAAGTTGACTTGCCAATACCCCTTTGCTCTCAAAGGCAGATACTCATTGCCTGCATTATTCTCTGCTCTGGATTGGAAGAGCTGTCTGGTTATGGGCTGGAATGTTACCAGTTCTTGTCATATACTGGAATGTTCACCACTTGAATTTTATCTGTTAAAACAGGATAAAGTAATACCTATAGCGTAGAGTTTATTATTAAAGTTTAATGAAATAAAGAATGTAAGGGACCTGGTACAATACCTACAAATATAGCAACTCCTCAATAAAGTTTAGTCTCATTTTGTTAGTCCCTAAGGCATATTTGGTTCATAATAGAAGAGACCTGTTGAATTAGCCATAATTCAATAATTTAAGCTGATTATAAAATACCTTGCTAATCATTCTAATTGTATGTTCTCAGATATGCTGTGAGTTTTTTTTTTTTAACAAGATTGTTGTTTTCTGTGACTTTTGACCTTATTTTTTTTTTTTAGCCAAAGAATTCTCACATGTGGTCATTATATATATCACATTATTAAAAAGCTACTGGTATAAATACAACATTGCTATCTTAGTTAAATTATTGACTAAACTTTCAACCATATAATTTCCCTTTGAATAGTTTTACAGCTGAAAATGATGGAATAGGTCTCAGAGTCAATTTACCTTTATAGGCAATAAAGATACATAAGTGTATCTTACGAAGGCTTTTATAATCCCAAATTCTTTGTGATTTTATAAAATTTGACATTGATCAAATACTAAACATTTCAGTTCTCACAGAGATTCAGCTAATTTTACTTAGGTTCTTACTACAATTTTAAACACTCCGCTGCATTTTTGTCATGCTAGGGGAAAGAGACAGTAGCATGGGGAATACCAAGTTGCAGGTAATTTTTAAATCAACTTTATCTGATTTTGTAATTTTTTTTTTTCAATTTTGACATGGTTGTGATGGCTTTATGCAGTCACAGTTATTTAAAACCAAATGATAGAGTCCCATTGTGACTCTCCAGTCTAAAAGAGCATTTTCTAAAGAGACTGGTACACTACATATGACTATTCAGCTTGATTCCCCATTCCCAGGAGGAAAAAAAGCAACTCTATGAGGAAATGTTATGTTCTCCATTTTACAGAAAAGGAAATAGTGCAGAGAATTTAAGTAACTTGCTCACCCAACTAATAGGTGACAGAGCTAGGACTTAAACAACTTCTGACTTGAAAACCTATGCCATTTCCATAGTACCACTCTGGCTCTTAGCATTAACATTTATTTATAATTTTCATAGTATTTTTAACACAGTAATATATTATTTAATATCTCCTTTCAGAGTTCTGTTCTTTGTCTTAGACATAATCTACTGGTACATTTACTGCTTTACTCTTCTTTAGTAAGAAAAACTTGAAGCCTAAGCATATTTTCCCTATTGCTAAGAGTAACACTTATATTTTTCCTTTAAAAAGTTTCTTTTTTGTTCATTTCTTGATCAGACTGTAATTTAATATGAGAAAGAACAGAGAAGTTATAAAGTGAACCATAAAACTAAAGAGAAGAAGTAACATTTTACAAAGTACTTCAAAGTAAGAACTTAGATAATAAATACATTTAGGGAGAGGTACCAACATATAAAACATTTTCATTTCAATTAATCTGGATATAGTTTTGGTTACTCTAGAAGCTAAGAATTATTTAATGGATGAGTCATGAAATATATTGATAGGTAGAAAAATCAGCAAATACTAACTTAAAATATTTCTATTATCTCATGTGTTACCTAGTAATGTATTTTTCTCCAGTTGTTTAATTGATATGTATACCTTTTTTTATATAGGGAAGAAGAATTTGATGAGTATTTTCAAGATTTATTTCTGTGAGATGGAAGAGAGAAGCCTACATTCCTTAATGTAAAAATACAGTTTGAAATGCTTCTAAGAAGTTTTATATGCAAGCTGCAGTTTGAGGGATTTGTCTCTGGAAATCAAAATTCAGCTACTGTCAAGACATCAAATGCTTTGGAAGTTAATTAGTTTTTTTGGAGACACTTTTCCCCATCCTTTACATATTTCTTGAGTTGCTTATCTACACATCTGTTTCATCTGTAGCTCCTAGAGGGTGGAGCTAGTACGCTGTACAGAGATTCCATTGTTCCTTGATTTTGTAGGTGTTTCTTTTTCACTTATTCATATTAAAATTATTAGGATTATTGGAATTTCACAAAAATCACAAAGTAGATTAAGTATATCTTTGACTTCTTTCATTTGATATACTGGCATCCCTCTTTTGAGCACCTATTTCCTATTACCACCTATTTCTTGCTGCCCTTTTCTTTCTTTCTTTTTCTTTTTCTTTTTGCTTACCTTTCTCTTGCTTCCTTCTTACCTTCTACCACTGAAGTGAGTCTACCACTGAAGTAAGTTAGTCATAATCAAATTTGACTTTCCAGTGTGTGTGTAATTCATTATAAAGTAAATTAATACCACAGGAAGCAAATGAGGTCCCAGTAGTCTAAAGCAGATGTGTTCACAGAAGTTGACTCTCCAGCAAGCTTACGCAGTAAGAATTTAACTGAATAATATAGTGTGCATAGAGCTTGTCTCAGATACAGTCATGCAAATAATGGATGTATGCATAGATATATTATAAAATGTTACTTCTTAACTTGGGGCCCAATACCCGCAAGAGTTATGGAGTGTGTTTCAAGAAAACTAAGCAGCCCTAGAATCTGTGTAAACTTCTGTGTTGATGTGTGCTTTGTGAAGGGAAAGGATCCATAGTTTTCATCAATTTTCAAAAGGATTTATTGATCTTTTTACTTAAGTAAAGACCCGTTTTTTATAAGGAACAAAGAGGTAGATAGAGGAGGAGATGAATGATTTGATGAATAAGAACGAGGACATACAGCAAATGATTGTAGTATTCCAATTATTTTGTTGAATTCAGACATACTATTTTCAATTATATTTAAATATGTAATGATTGGCATTAAACTACAAAATAATTTAGTGTCTTATTTTTAAATTGTTAGTATCAGAGACTTTCTTTTTATTAAGTAGTTGTTATTCATAAATTTAGTAAGTAGTTTTTAGGCTTCTTTTATGTGAGGCCCTGTGCTGGACATTGCTACAAAGGAACTACCTAGGAAATGTTTCCTAAACCATTAGAAACAGTAAATCAGCTTCTAATCAATTAGAAATGTTGCATTAGTGTACACAGTAAAACAGTTTAAACATTGTTTGAAAGTCCCCTCATTTCTTAAATTGTGTCTTTTTTCATCTAACTACATAATAGTGAATAAAAAGTAATCTTGATTTCTGAGGAGAAAGTGTTTGAATGTTCAGCAGCAAAATTGATAATAAATAATGGAATATATGTAGCTAAATATTTGATTTAATATATACATAGTTTAGTCATCAGGAAATAAAATAACTGCAAAATTAAATGATAAAAAGGAAGAATAGCTAAAGACCCTTTTAAACTAGATCCCCATATTTGGTATTGCAACTACTGTTAATGGACATCAAGTTCATTTATAAATTTAGATCATTATATATAAGCACAACATTTAATCCATTCATACATAATGGCAGATAATGGGAGTCATATTTTTAAGGAGTCTTTGAACAGGCCTCAAGATGATGAGTTTAAAGATTAATTCTCCATGTGTTCAGAGGGCATGGGGTTTTAACACGGCTTTAGACACAGCTACAAAACCTGGGACAAGGATCATGTATGTTTCTGGTTATTAGTGGAGAATCTGAAGTCCAGACAAAGCATGAGTAATTTTCTCTGAAATACACAGCTAGTAAGTGACAGGATGGGGAGTTGTTAACTTTTCCCAGCAACACACAGCTTCCACACAAGCTGACACAACTTCTCTGTCTTGTCTAGTTTTCTTAACTATAAATGGCTGACTAACTTACATGTGAAAGGAAATGGGACTGTCTCAAAAATTCTGAGAGCTTCCAGGAATACCTTCTACTCTCAATAGTCAAGTTCATTACTATTTATTTTCATAAATATTATTCTGCTGGGCTTTTTTTTTTTTTATTCACAGAGTGGACACGTTACACAGAAGATTTATTTCCTCATTAAATCCCTTGTTTTCAAGAAAGGAACAGAGCAAAACCCAGGGGTCCAGGGAGTCAGGATGATCAGAAATTTTTAGAAACCAGGATCCCATGATAGATTTAAAATTTTTTTAAAATTGTTACTCTGTTACAGTCATCCCAATATCGCCCCCTTTGCCTCGCTCCACCCATCCCACCCCCCTGCTCCCACAGTCAGTCTCCACACTGTTGTCCATGTCCATGGGTCATTCATACATGTTCTTTGTCTAGTCCCTTTCCCTTCTTTCCACCATCGTCCCCCTCCTCTCTCCCCTCTGGCCACTGTTTGTTCCATGTTTCCATGCCTCTTGTTCTTTTTTGCTTATTAGTTTATTTCATTCATTAGATATTTTAGAAAATAATTTTTACTGAAAAAGTAATAGAACAAGGTGTGGTAGATGCTGTGATGTGTGTTGCAATTTCCCCACTGCAGGACCAAGGTACTCATTTCCCAGCTGCTGGTCTGGTAGTGACAGACTGCACTTAGCCAAGTCCCTCTCAGGGAATCATCCATAGTGGCTGAGAACCATCCTGTCTAAGGGAGAGGAGGAGGAAGGGAGAAAGAGGGAGAGAAACATTGATCGGCTGCCTCTCGCACACACCCTGAATGGGGACCAAACCGCAACTCAGGCAAATGCCCTGACTGGGAATGAAACTGATGACCTTTCACTTTGTGAGATGACGCCCAACCAACTGAGCCACACCAGTCAGGGTGGTATCCCATATTTTATTTTATTTTTTAAAAAATATTTTTTAAAGACTTTATTTTTAGAGAGAGGGGAAGGGAGGGAGAAAGAAGAAGAAAAACATCCATTTGTGGTTGCCTCTCACATGTCCCCTACTGGGGACCTGGTCCACAACCCAGGCATGTGCCCTGATTGGGAATTGAAACAAACCCTTTGGTTTGCAGGCCAGCACTCAAGCCACTGAGCCACACCAGGGCAGTACCCCATATTTTATAAAAAGATGTATATAGCATAGACAAAAGTAGGGAGAATTACATACTAAAATTTTAATGGTTTTATAGGAGATGGAAGTACAAACGTATTTGTTTATCAGGAATTTCATTATTTTATGTCTTTTTCAATACTTAACCATCTACTTAGTAACTTAGAAAACTGTATACTGGAACTTCCTAATGAATAATTACTCTTGTTCCCAAGATTAATGAGAATTCCCTAATTCTATATTATGAACTCTATTACTAGATTTATCTCTCATTTCTGGGTCTCTGATAAGACTGTATTCTTGAAACTATATATACCCAATAAATTGATGATGGAACCAGACAGGCCAACTTCGTTGCTACTATAGAAATCAACATAAAATAAATTAGTGAAAAAGAAAGAAAAACTATTTTTAGAGAGAGGAGTGGAGAAAGAGAAATACTACTTATTTATGCATTCATTTGGTTGATTCTTATATGTGCCCTAACTGGAAATTGAACCAGCAAACTTGGCATATCAGGATGATGCTCTAAGCAACTGAGATACCCTGGCCAGGGTGTGAAGTTCCTATTTTTTGCAGACCTTCAGTGGTGGCAAATATCTTCCCCATAATTCACTTTCTACTGAATGAGGAGTGTAAGTTGTTTGACCTGACTGATATTTTGGGGTCCAAAATTACATAAAGTTAAAGGAAGAAATTTTTTAATGCAGTTTCTAAAATAATCCTAAAAGTGTAGTTTCAAAATTATTTTAAGCAATAGAAATAAAGTGTACAAGGCCACTTTCCCAGGGTGATGACTTAAGTAGACAATAGTCATTTGGTTGTATATATTGAGTTTTTTCCTCCCTAAAAATAATAGATACTCCTCATTTATAAACCTGCGTGATGAGATTTGAAATACTCATATTTACTGAGCACCTACCTTAATGTCAGGCACTTCTCTAGGTGCCTGGGTAGAGCTATGAATAAAACAGACTAAAATAGATAAAAACTTTCATCTCATGGACCTTACCTTTTTTTTAGTTTTAATTTTTATTTATTTATTTAATTATACTTTATTGATTATGCTATTACAGTTGTCTTCATTTTCCCCCCTTTGCCATCCTTCCATCCAGAACCCCCAATCCCTCAGACAGTCCCCCAACAATTGTTCATGTCCATGGGTCATGCATATAAGTTTTTTGGCAACTCCATTTTCTATATTGTACTTCACATCCCCATGGCTATTTGTTAAGTACCTATTTGTAGTTTTAAATCTCACCACTTCACCCATTCCCCCACATCCCACTCCCCTCTGGCACCCATCAAAACGCTCCCTGTATCTGTGATTCTGTCTCTGTTGTTCTTGTTTCCTCAGTTTGTTTTTTAGATTCAACTGATATGTATTTTTTGCCACTTTATTGTTCATGATTTTGATCTTTTTCTTAAGTCCCTTTAACATTTCATATAATAATGATTTGGTGATGATGAACTTTAGTTTTTTTCTTGTCTGGGAAGTTCTTTGTCTGCCCTTTGATTCTAAACAATAGCTTTGCTGGGCAGAGCAATCTTCACTGTAGGTGTCTGCTTTTCATGACTGAATATTTCTTTCTAGTCCCTTCTAGCCTGCAAAGTTTGTTTTGAGAAATCAGCTGACAGTCGTATCGGAACTCCCCTGTACCTAACTTGTTTTCTCTTGCTGCTTTTAAGAGTCTCTCTTTATCTTTAACCTTTCGCATTTTAATTATAATGTGTCTTTGAGTGGGCCTCTTTGCATCCATCTTGTTTGGGACTCTCTGTTCTCTGTGTTTCCTGGGCTTACATGTCTATTTCCTTCACCAAATTAGGAAAGTTTTCTTTCATTATTTTTTCAAATAGACTTCCAATTTCTTGCTATTTCTCTTCTCTTTCTGGCACCCCTATGGTGTGAAAGATGGACCTCTTGAAGTTGCCCCAGAGGCTGCTTATAGTATCCTCATGTTTTTGGATTCTTTTTTCTTCTTGTTCTGGTTTGTGGTTTTTTGCTTCCTTATGTGCCACATTATTGATTTGATTCTCAGCTTCATTCATTCCACTGTTGTTTACCTATAAATTGTTCTTTATTTCAATTGGTGTATCCTTCATTTCTGACTGGATCTTTTTTAAGTTATTGAGGTCCTTACTAAGTTCTCTGAGCATCCTTATAACCAGTGTTTTGAACTCTGCATCTGATAGATTGCTCGTTTCCATTTTGTTTACCTTTTTTTCTGGAATTTTGGTCCATTCTCTCATTTGGGCCATGTTTCTTTGTCTCCTTGTTTTGTCAGCTTCCCTGTGTTTGTTTCTATGTATTAGGTAGAGCAGCTTTGACTCTGTGTCTTGGTAGTGTGGCCTAATGTAGTAGGTGTCTTGTAGGGTTCAGTGGCACAGCCTCCTCTGACATCCAAGCTGGGTACTGAAGGTGCACGTTCGTTTGGGCTGAGTACACCCTCCTCTTGTAGTTGAGCCTTGGTTGCTATTGGCAAATCAATGGGAGGGAATTTACCCTGGCCAGGCAGCTGCAAGGATTGGTTGTAACCACTTACCACCAAACTCTGCCCTCCATGGAGGATCAGCTGTGCAGGGGCAAGATGGTAGTGCTCTCTTGTGGTCTATATCTGTCCACTGGGTGCACCGGCCCTGGGGTTTCCCTGTGTTGTGCAGGCCAAAGTCAGCCCCCACCTGTGTTTTGCCTAGGGCCATCCTGCCCGAGCTATAAAGCATTCTGAGATGGCTGCTACTTGTGCTGTGCTTGGAGATGCCCAGGCAAAGCTAAGCTGTGAATCTAAGCTGGCTGCTGCTAGTGGTGGGTCTGGGGCTCACTGAGGCCAGTTGTTGCTTGTATGAAAGGATTTAGGAAGTTGTGCAGCATGAGCCAAGATCGGCCATTCATAAGGAAAAAACCCAGCTTGGGTGGGCCTGTAAGTTGTGTGGGTGGAGTCTCTAGGGATCTCCTGGGGGAGCAAACAGTGTTAGGCTGGTTGATGGAGTCCCAGATATGGCACCAGCTTGCCAGCTCTGTGGGTGGAGTGTTTAGAAAAGGGACAATGGTCTCTGTTCATCTTGATGCCAGACTTCAGATTCTCCCTGTATACCAGTGATGCCTTTCATGTTGCTACTACAGTGCTGGAGCGCAGAGGGAGTGAGTCTGAATAGGTGAGTCTATGTGTGGATTTTTTAAGAGGAACTGCTTGGGGCTCCAGAATTTTCTTCCACTGACTCAACCTCTGCTAGTTTTTGCAGCCAGAAGTTGTGGAGACTTATCTTCCTGGAACTGGAATCGTGGGCTGCGGGGCCTAGTGTGGGACTGGGTTGGCTCGCTCCAATATCTCTCCCAAATTTTTAATCTACTACATGTGGGTGAGAGACCAGTCTGTTCCACATCTGCTCCCCTCCTATCAGTCTGGATGGATGTAGTCTTCTTTAATTCCATAGTTGTCAGACTTCCATTCAACTTGATTTCTGATAGTTCTGAGTGATGGTTGTTCTGTATTTTAGTTGTAATTTTAATGTGGCTGTGCAAAGAGGCTAACCACAGCTGCCTACCCCGCCATCTTGAACGGAAGTCCTCAACCTTACAGTCTTATGTTGAGAGTAGCAATCTTGGAATTATAAGTACCTAACTTATAAAAATATAACAAATCGTGACTTACATCTTAGCTGATTAAAATTACTGGGTTGGCCAAAAAGTTAATTTGTTTTTTTCAGTTAGTTGGCTCTAATAGCGTTTAGTTCTCTTGAACTTCATTTGAAACAATTTTATTAGATTGTATTGTGACAGCTATCATATCAGTATGCATTAAAAAAAATCAAAATTGGTGAATTTTTCTGTAGCCATTTTAATATTGAAGATGGAAGAAAATAAGCAACATTTTTGGCACATTATGCTTTATTATTTCAAGAAATATAAAAACACAACTGAAAAACAAAAAAAAGATTTGTGCAGTGTCTGCTGAAGGTGCTATGACTGGTAGAACGTGTCAAAAATGGTTTGTGAAGTTTCAAGCTGAAGGTTTCTTACTGTTGATGCTCCATGGTCAGGTAGACCAGTTGAACTTGATAGTGGTCAAATCAAGACATTAATTGAGACCAGTCAGTGTTATACCACACGTGAGATAGCCGATGTACTCAATATATCCAGATCAATAAAGTTGTTGGTGAAAATGGAACACATGCCTTTTATTTTATGGAAACAACTAAAAAGACTTTTTGGCCAAATCAATAGTATCTCCTGTATAACAAAACATTAGAGGTTCATAGATCATCAGTTCAATTCATTATAACTTAGATATCTTCTGATTAAAAAATCTGTGGTGTAATTATTATTATTTGGTCTCTTTTCTAATTCAGTCTATGGTTATAGGTAAGAAAAGGAAGAAATCTTAAATTTTTCTGATGTCCTGACATGTACCATGTAATAGAATTAGTTGTCTTTAGTGTCTCCTGACAAATCAATATATAGAATCAACATATAGTTCTAGTAATCATTTTTTAAAGTAACCTTTCTTGAAGTCCTTCCCAATGGCTTTTGATAGTATAGTTCTCACATAATCAAACCACATGCTTCTTAATAATGAATAGTATTTATTAGCTGGTTTAACTTGCATTAGGATTATCCAGTTAATATCTTACAAGTTGTTAATTCATTCAATAAGAATAACAGTTCTGATCATAAAATATTTTTAGTTCACATAAAATAAATGATTTCAGACTTGCATGGGGGGATGGGCACAGGACAAGAAATAGTTTGTAAGCTGCCTTAGTGTGATCTTTACCATTCCATTATTAAGGGTAAAAAGTAGAGGAAAGAGATACATTCAGATGTAATAACATTTGACACCCTTTTTCTTTGTTTTTATATAGTATTTACATAAATTATACATCCTATATTGACTTAAAATAAGACATTTTTAATTCAGGGACAGATTTGAGTATATAAATCACAATTATTAATGCTATGGGCTGAATTGTGTCCACCCTCAAAGTCATGTTGAAATAGAAACAGCCAGTACCTCAGTGTGACTGTATTCGGAGATAAGATATGTAAAGAGATAATTAAAGTAATATGAGGTCTGTGAGTGGGGCCTAATCCGATATGATTGTCCTTAGAAGAGATTAGGACACAGACACACAAGAGGGAAGACCACGTAAAGACACAGGGAGAGGCTGGCCACCTACAAACCGAGGACAAAAAGGCCTCACAAGAAACCAAACCCTGCCAACATCTTGATCTTGGACCTCTAGTCTCCAGAATGGTGAGAAAACAAATTTCTGTTGTTTAGGCCACCCAGTCTGAGGTATTTTATCATGGTAGCCCTAGCAAATGAATACAATTAATAAGAACTTAAAAAATAATTGGTGATTAGTTTCAGAATTATATTTTAATTTGCAACAAATTGACACCAAAAAATGCACTCATTTTCATTTTATTTTGTTCTTTTGTCGAACTTTATTTTACCTTCAGGGTTTTCAGGCTAGCAGTATATTTTCTCTTGATAGTCATAAGGGTAAGTTTTCTGAAGCCCCTCTTACTGTATTCCTTCATCGTTTGTTGATTGAAATTTGCTGAATTTCCTTTGAATGTTTTCTGTTTTTCTTCTAAAGTAGAAACAATATTTGAAATTTAGACCAGTTGGATCATAACATTAGACATGTTTTGGACTTTTTGTCATCAACACCACTTCCTGTATCTTCTGCAGCTAGTAAAAAGGAGAAAAGCAGTATTATTGGGAGGCTGTGGATGTACAGTGTTTTTATTCTAACACTATTAATATTAGTATCAACTTTATAGCCTAATAAATAGTTTTAACATAGCAAATACTAAGGGCTTGACCATTTAAAAACTTGAAATCATATTCAGAATTGGTCCATTTTAAAATAGAATCTAGCCCTGGCTGGTATGGCTCAGTGGATTGGGTGCCAGTCTGCGAAGCCGTGGGTTGGTGGGGTGTCACCGGTTTGATTCCCAGTCACGGCGCATGCCTGGATTGTGGGCCAGGTCTCTGGTAGGGAGTGCGAGAGGCAACCACACATTGCTGTTTCTCTCGCTCTCTTCCTCCCTCCATTCCCCTCTCTCTAAATAAATAAAATCTTTTATAAAAATAAAAATAGAATCTAATAAATGATTAGCCAATTATAGCATCTGTTTTTCAAGAGAACCATTGAGCTACACAATCTGGGAATCGTTGCTTTGTGCCAGGCACAAAGCTTGTTGCCTGGAGATACAAATATAATGTTCCTAGTTCATAGAGACTTCTCAATGTAATTGGAAAAAAAATTCAGAAGTAATTTTTTATGCACATAAAGTATAGGAGATCCATGTCCAATATACTGAATACTGAAAGGAAATGTCAGGAGCCACTTAAAAGACCTGCTATCCTGTTCATCATAAAATTGAGATAAAGACTAAATTTAATTATACTAAGAAATGTCTTGCTTTCAGTTGCTCAGTAAAATTACGACTTTTGTTACCTTTTTGAAGTGCAAATTAGATCTTACAGCTTTCTTGTTTAAATCTCTTTAATGACTTCCTATTGCTCAGTGGAAGACAGATCCTTAGCAAGGCCTTGAAGACAACACGCAATATGGCAGAGCTGCCTGTACTACCAGACGATTACCAGCTTCATCTCGTACTTTGCCCTCGCTGCTTTCTAGACTCCAGCTACACCACTTCTTGAGGCCACTTCAAGGCCTTTGTACATATTCTCTTCTTTCCTTTTCTCCCCAGCCCCTCCTTTCTTTGCTTAGCCAAAGCCTAATGAGTTAGCATCCTTCAGGAAAGCCTTCCCTGATGCCCCAGGTTCCCACTTCTTGCTTCCTCTGAAAGTTAATCAATTGTTTATTTATTGTTTTAATATCTAGCTCCCCCACCAGATGGTAAGTTCTGTGAAATAAGGACCCCATGTTTCCCCAGCCTGCCTAACAGAGGGCCTTGTATAGAATAGTCGTCCAATAAGTACTTAAGTGAATGGATATCAAGGAGTCAGAAAATTTTATTCTTATTCTGTTGAAGGACATGCTTAACCTCTTAAGCAAAATACTTTCTCCCTCTATGAAGGCTTTAAAATACCATTAAACATAATAGAACCATCTAAAAGGAATGTTGTGTCTTGTTTTGCAAGGCCTTTCCAGATAGAGATGATTTTTTGGTTGAACAATAAGAATTTCTTAAAAAAACTTTTTGAGTGCTGAGCTCTCAACACAAAATAAGTTACCACATTAGCATTCCACTTTGAAGGTGACATTTTGAGACATCTGATGAACTGATAGTTGACCTGAACATCTTAACAGGCTTTCTGAAGATGTTAAACCTACAAAGTGACTTTAGGAGAAATTTCATCAGGAAAAATAGCACTGCATGGAGACATTTGAGGCACAGGCAAAGTCTTGGAGTACCCGTCAAGTCCCCTCATTCAGTTGGCCAGCTTTACTTGACATGTAGGGCTTCCTTAACTTTATATGTAGGGCTTCAAGGAGATCTATAAATCATTATATAGTGAAGAATATTAAGCTCAGAGAGGTTCAAGTTGCTCAAAGTCTCACAGTGAATGCATCATGGTGGAACTAAAATTGTTTTCTCACATGACCCTGATCCTTCTGATTCTGTGGTTTCATGTTATTTCTTTACAAACTCAGTATTGTGCACTGGTACCTCAGGAGCCACCTTCCAGGGTGGATGAAGAAGCCTAGCCCCAACCCCTCCTTCAACTGGAACAAGCAATTCCATCTGGAATTACACAGAAGATCTTTTTTTGGGTTAGTGAAAAACACTAACCAACTTCTTAAAATCATCAGACTGCGTACAGTGAAGCAAGTTTAATGTTTACATTTAGTTTTTATGCTTTCATCATGTGAGATTGAGCTCAGCTTGACTTCTGGCTTCCTGTAGAAGGGGAAACAGATTCCATCTAACCTTTTTCAATCGCATTTCCCTCTTCCTGCTTTTTTCACATCCTCTTCAGTTACCTTCATCTTTGCATCATATTCATCAGCTAGGGATTTCCCTTCCATTCTGTTACTTTGAAGGCCACTCACATAGGTGTGACTTCTTCGTGAAACCGTGAGAACTCCTACAGAGAATCAGGTCAAAAACTACTTAAATTATATGGTTGATATTCAGTAATTTCATATGCAGAAGAGCTGTAAGAAATTGTTACAGTGCTCTGAGCTGCTGGGTTGGACCTAATTCAGTGCCTTGGAAATGGGAAGGACAGGTGCTCTTTCCTGCCTGCCTAATCAGTCTGTTCAATTTGCTCTCCCCCGCGTTCTTTCTCCTTTTATTCCACTCCTGAATGAGAGAGCAGGATAATACTTCAAACTACTTTGAAGAAATAAGTTTGAAAGAAAAATTCTCATCCAGATAACTATGTATTTCACCCCCCAAAAAATCAATTTGTTTACTTACCTTATATACAAAAGTGCAAACAAAATCAATAAATCCAACTTGAAGTTTAGGTAGTTCATCTTTTTTGTTTCTGTCCATCATAGGCTAGGAAGAAAAATAAATCCTTTAAAGATAGTTTTCTACGGTTCAGTAAACAAAATAGACTGATTTGTATCAATAATTTTTAATAAGTAGTGTGTTTTTATATCAAGGTCTTTACAATAGGTTGTTGCTGCAGCACCGTTCTCTCCAGATCTTGTTCCTAAAATTCACTTGCAACAAGAAGTGCTACCTGCAAATAAGAAAGACTTGGTTCATGAAAACAACTTACTGATAGAGAATTTGCATTGTATTAGTATGCGTGACATTTAAGGATAGGGTTTATAGTTAATATTTGCGGTATTGTCATATGATATGTTCTTTGATATATAAAAGATGTCATTTACCGATTATATTGAAATGAGAAAGGGAATTTCTCTTCCTACCAGTTCCAGACTCATTCTTGGAGTGCTTAGCTCCCATTTGCTCTTGCCTCCACCTCTCAACAATAAAAAGAGGAGATGGGAAGAAGCTTAATTCCATTATATTATGCTTTAAGCTTTAAAGCCTCCCAAATCCTTCTTTTGTCCTGCTTATGTGTTAGTATCTAGCACATATCTCCATGTGCAGTGTAAACAAGCACTCACATATATGCACGTAGAGACTAGAACACAGCTTTACTTAATTACAGTGTGTGGAAATTTAGAGTTAACTTATATAGTTTTAAAACACCCAATATCAAGTTTATTGAACACCTACTAGCTGTCTTACATTGGCATGAGCCAGGCTTGCCAACAGGAATAAGATGTGACATTTTTCTTTAAGATGCTCACAGTCTAGTGAAGACAGTCATGTAAACAGTATGGTAATTGCTATTATAGTAATAATATGAAGTACTATGGATCAGGGAGACAGTAGTAAAGAAAAGTTTAATAAAGAAGGGAGGTTGCACATTGAAGAAGAGATTGTAGGAGCAAAACCACCTTGATAGAGGAAAGCAATAATGATACATCCTTTTCCTGATTTATCGCCTCTGTTAAAAAAACCACACAATCCCTGAATAATTATACATAAACTTCTTACAGCCTGTTCAGTGATAAGGAATTCTTTCAAGAAAGCATTTTCTTTCCAATATTCCCTCTATTTTTCTTGTTCTGGGGCCTGATCAAAAAGACCTGTTGTCTTACTGACATTTGTGAGCTCTTGACAGCTATTTGCCTTTCTTTGTTGACAGAAACCTAACAGGGAACATTTTATTTTTGTCTTAAACTTCTCAAGTTCCTCTTTCCTTCTTTTTAAATTATAAATTGATTGTTTGAGAGAACAAGTCCAGGGTAATAAAAGATAATTGCTTATAAAATATATAGGTATATAAGTGATAGCTATAAAAAAAACTCTGAGGTTGCCAGATATCCTCGTGTTCACTTTTACATGGGACTTAGTACCTGAGAGTGCGACAGAAAAGGAAACACAACTTTATTCACCTGACTTGGTACTTCCCAGGGTTTGGTTACAGCTGATAGGTCACATGCAGTCATCATCATTGCCCTTTGGAGGAAAACAAAAATTGTTAATATGGAAATACAAAATAGGTTCTATTTGCCAAAAGAGAAATAAAATTCTTACTACTTACATGATAATGTCTTTTTTGGTTGGATCACTGGTCACCTATTTGATGGCCTCTTCTTCAGTTTCCATTTTTTCACAAGCATCAACAATTTTTTGAAACATGGTTCTCTTCCTAAAAAAATTATATAGCTGTGCCTTTTTTTTTTTTTTTAATATATAGCATATAACACCAGAGATTAAAAAAGGTTTCTTTAACATGTGTTTCTCAAATCCCCTGAACACATCTAATGACTTTTGCAGGTATGGGCCCCAAGTTAAGAAATTACTTTGATAGCTTATTGGTGCATAAAAGTATATCCATATTTGCATGACTATATCTGAGATAAGCTCTACACACACTGTATTTTTCAGTTAAATTATCTTACTCTGTAAACTCTGTTGGGTCAACTTTTGTGAACACAATGTGGTATAAAATTGAAGATATGCAAACAACCCTGTAAAAATCTTTTTTCTAGGGAGAGTTTAGAGGAAGTTCTCATATATATGGAAGGACATACAATGTAGTATTGTGGGCAATTATGACAAATTCAAAACAATCTAAATGTCCATGAATAGAACGGCAAGATTATTTATAGTATATACATACAAGCTAAGTATATAGTAAAAACAAATGAACCAGATCTCCATTTTACCACCAAGGTAAATCTTCATTTCTATTTTGTATTTTTATTTTTTAAATCCTCACCCAAAGATATGTTTATTGATTTTAGAGAGAGGAACAGATAAAGAGAAACAATGTGAGAGAGAAATATTGATCAGTTGCCTCCCAAATGCACCCTGACCAGGGATCAAATCTGCAACCTCGGTATGTGCCCTGACTTGGGATCAAACTGACGAACTTCTGGTGTACAGGATGATGCTCCAATCAACTGAGCCACCCATCCAGAGCACCAAGGTAAATCTTTAAAAGAAAATGTTGCATGAAAAAAGCAAGTTGGGGCATTCAGTCAAGATGGAGACATGATAAATGTGCCTCACCTCCCTGCACAATTGCAGCAAAAATTACAACTAGAATACAAAACAAGTATCACCCAGAATTGTCAGAAAATTGAGCTGTATGGAAGTCTTAACACCCAAGGATTTAAAGAAGCCACATTCATCCAGACTGGTGGAGAGGCAGAGATGTGGAGACACAGAGAGGCATGGGGATGTGGAGAGGTGCAGAGAGGTGTGGAGATGGAGAGTGTGGCACAGGGAGGCATGGAGATGTGGAACGTGGTCCCACATCCATGTGCCATGGATAAAAATGGGGAGGGATTCCTTGGGAGCAAGGGATATAGCCCTAGACCAGGCCACTCAGCCCAAGGTTCCAGCACCAGGAAGATAAGTCCCCACAACCTCTGGCTATAAAAACAAGTGGGTTTGGGATGGCAGAAGAAACTGCAGGATTCTCAAGAGATCCCTCTTAAAGGGCTTGCAACTGATTTAGGTCTCACACAGACCCACCCATTATGGGATTCAGCACCAAGGTTACAGGTGGTAGGGCATTGGTGGCATATGGGGAGAAAGGGAAGTGACGCAACAGAGCAGGTACGAGGAGACAGCTCCCTCCCGGGCAAAACTCCAGAGGCCAGGCAGCAGCATTGTCCCCTCTCTGAGCCCTCCCACACACACAGCTACACAGTGGTGACAGAGGGTGCCCCACACTGGCAATGACCTAAGGCTCCACCCCATATAACTTAGAGGTGTGCTTTTCTACAGTAGGCCACACTGCTAATAAAGGGAGTCAAAGCAGCTCTACCTAATAAACAGAAACAAACACGGGGAAGCTGCTGAAACAAGGAGACAAAGAAACCGGGCCCAAAGGAAATAACAGAACAAAACTCCAGAAAAAGAACTAAACAAAATGTAGATAAGCAACCTATCAGATGCAGAGTTCAAAACACTTGTTATCAGGATGCTCAAGGAACTCATTGGGTACTTCAACACATAAAAAAGACCCAGGCAGAAATGAAGGTTACATTAAGTGAAATAAAAATCTACAGGAACCAGCAGTGGAGGGGATAAAGCCAAGAATCAAATCAACAATTCAGAACATAAGAAAAAAGCATTCAATCAGGACAGCAAGAAGGAAAAAGGATTAAAAAAAGCAGGGATAGGCTAAGTAGCCTCTGGGACATCTTCAAATGTACCAACATTTGAGTCATAGAGGTGTCAGGAGAAGAGGAAAACCAGGAAATTGAAAACTTATTTGAAAAAGATGACAAAAGAAAACTTCCCCAAATTGGTGAAGGAAATAGACATACAAGTCCAGGAAGAACAGAAAGTCACAAACAAGACAGACCCAAACAGAACCACACCAAGACACATCATAATTAAAATGCCAAAAGTTAAAAATAAAGAGAGAATCTTAAAAGCAGCAAAAGAAAAGCAGATTGTTACCTACAAAGGAGTTCCCATAAGACTTGCAGCCGATTTCTCAAAAGAAACTTTGCAGGCTAGAAGGGACTAGCAAGAAGTATTCAAAGTGATGAAAAGCAAGGACCTACAGGCAAGATTGCTCTACCCAGCAAAGTTATTTAGAATGAAAGGGCAAATAAAATACTTCCCAGACAAGGAAAAACTAAAGAAGTTCATCATTACCAAGACATTTTTATATGAAATGCTAAAGAGAATTATATAAGTAAAAGAAGATGATCAAAACTATGAACATTAAAATGGCAATAAATTCACAACTATCAACAACTGAATCTAAAAAATAAGCAAACAAGCAGAACAGGAACAGAGTTATAGATATAGAGATCACATGGAGGGTTATCAGTTGGGAGGGAGAATGGGGAGAATGGGGGAAAAGGTGCAGGGATTAAGAAGTACAAAATGGTAGGTATAAAATAGGGGGATGTTAAGAACAGTCTAGGAAATGGAGTAGCCAAAGAAATTACACATACGACCCATGTACATGAATTAAGGGGAGGATTGTTGGAGGGAATGGGGGTACTAGGTGGAGGAGGGCAAAGGGGGAAAAATTGGGACAACTAATAGCATAATCAATAAAATATATTTAAAAAATAAAGGAAAAAAGCAAGTTGCAGGACTATGTACAGTGGTACCATTTATGGAAAATTTTAAAACACTTCACAATATCATATAAAAACACAGATGGAAAGGACAAATACGCCTCAACATAGGGATGGTGACACCTGTGAGGGAGAAGGGAGGGGTCTTTCCTGGTGGACTGGGCTGGGGAGGGATGCCTCTTTTCTGTCACTTTTCTCCTCCAAAACAGAAAAGAAGATCTAAGGTAGGTGTGGCAAAATCTTAGCATTTACTGAATCTGAGTTACGGATATTTGGATATCAATTATATCATTCTAAGTATCTTTCTTCATGTCTGAACTACTTAATAATTAAGTTTTTAATTAAGAAGTATCAGAGAGGCACAATTTGATACTGCCCATCCAAGTCATTAAATGTTTGTATCCTATAACTTTTCATCTTGTTCTAATCCATTTTGAACAAGCAACTTTATTCACTGACAAGAAGTATTTGGTCCTTGGTAAGTATTATTATAAATAAGCTGGTGCTCTGCTGTACATAACTCAGAATTCTAAGAGTTTGGTTTGTGTGCATCAGTATTGCCAAGATTGTTTACCTCCCTGACTCTGACAGGATCAAATGTCAGACTTCAGACCAAGGTGGATTCCCCAGGGCAAAAAGCCACCTTGTAAGGTTTTGTGGTATCACTCTTCTGCTGTGGTATTCAGCACCAACCTTGCTGAATATTCTTCAACTCAAACTTCTTCAGATAATAAACTATTTAGTATTAGGGGCTTAGCTTTTTTTAGAATTTTTTTTTGAAAGGATCTCCTCCCCTCGCCCCCCGCAAAGATTTATTTATTTATTTATCTTTAGAGAAAGGAAGGGAGGGAGAAAGAGAGGAAGAGAAACATCAATGTGCCGTTGCATCTTGCACACCACCTACTGGGGACATGGCCTGCAACCCAGGCATGTGCCCTGACTGGGAATCGAACTGGCAACCCTTTGGTTCACAGGCTGGTGCTCAATCCACTGCGCCACACCAGCTAGGGGGCTTCACTTTTAAAAACGTACTTCCAGATATCTAATAAATTTACTGTCAGGCATCTTGAAGGTTTTCTATTGATAATCCAAAAGGAAAATTAATAAATCTGTGTGTGAATAAATGTCTTTCAAGTTCAATGTTATGAATCATTTATAGAAGGCAGAACCACACAGGTATAAGGAAGTTACGTATGTACTTGAAGTATAAAGCCAGGTCAGTTGCTATTATTGCAACTTCAAACAAATGAATAACTGTTTCAAACTGACATTTATTTAGGTTCTGGAAGATGTTTAAACTCTGTAAAATGAAAATTCACAATAAAGTACAATCATTAATTTCCCTTTGATTCAACAAACAAATCAAAGTATACCTAACAAACACAAAGATTATTATATTACAGAGAGAAGAAAACTAGGTCTCCCACTGTTAAGCTTTCAATTTTTGTATCTTGGATTAAGTAAACTTCTCTATTTTGAGTAAGATAACTTACCTATAAAAATAGGTATTATTAGCAAATGTCCATGTAATTAATGTATGTGGTTTGGACTGAATAAGTGTTTTCTTCTGGGACCATTTAAAAATAGTAATAGATTAAAAATTTGCTTGTATTAATTGAAGAGCTTTAATAAAGAATATCTGGTAGATGTTTGATTGTTAGACATGTTGGATTATCCACCAAGTAGCTTCAGAGTGATCACAGAAACTGTTGGAAAACTTTCATAAATGGCAAATTAAACTAGTATTCATGTCTATGTAGGAAAAATAATGAAATCCTCCCAAACTGTTCTTAAAAATATTTTCTTGCAATTATATTTTACAAAGACTTAACTAGACCTTTCTTCAAAGATTTTCCTACTAATAATCTCTTCACATATGGATTGGCTTCATTTCTTCATATTCTAGAAAACCAGAGTATGAAGTTTGGAGTGGTTTTTAAAAGGTCTGATATTCCCAATAGACCATTTTAGGCATACGACCAAAGGACAGATCTATAGTGGTTTTGTCAAATGAAGGTGACCATTATGAAATACAGGAAAAAGTTCCACTGGAAGTAAAAGAGGAAATGGTCTAGCAACCTATGTAGAGATACAGGCAGCATAACATGGACAAGTATACTGTACTAAACACCAGAAAATTATAACAACTCAACATAATGCTTACTACTTACCAGGCACTGTTCTAAATGCTTTATAAATACCTTTAACCTCACAACAAACCACAGCACAGAGGGGTTAATTAACTCTCTCAGGGCAAACAGCGAGTCCACGGCAGAGCTGGAGTCTAAACCGGAGTAGCATGGCACTACTCTGCTTCTCAGCAAAGAGCCCAGTTCAGTTCCCAGATTCACCAGTTGGTAGTTGTATAATCCTGAACACGTCACTTAACATCTGTATTTGCTTTCTCAAATGAGGATAGTAACAGCTGCCCTGCCTAACTGCCTAGCACTTAGTCTATGATCAATAAATATTTGTGGAATGTTGACTCAAATGAGATAAATGAGAATGCATTTTAAAACCGTAAATTATTACAAAGGCTGTATCATTATTCTTGTTATATAAAATTTTGAAGTTAGCTTCAGGTTAAAATACAATTGCAAACCCAAGACCAACTCTGGCTCTCTGTCCTTCCAGGAGATTGAAATACTAGAAAGCAAGAAATGGAAAAACTCAAGTTTTCTGTATTATATGTTATATACTTTCACATAAGTCATCTTTTTTAATAACAACTTTCACGACAAAAATAAAAGGTATTTTATACAGCAGATATAAGTAGAAGAAAAGGAAGCTGTGATTTTTTTTTTTAAATAATGAATTCTTAATAGCAACTGATAGTCTTTCTGAATTGATATAGTGAAAAAATGTCTGCTAAATACTCCAAGAAGTAAAAGAGACAAAAGAAAGCTTGTCTAGATCAAAATCAGTTTCTTACTTGAGACAGTTCACAGCAGCCCCTTGGGCACATACTCTCTGAACCAAATCTTCTGGATACAGGGTATTTTCAACCTGTCCAGATTGGCCAGGATGAAGAGGAAAGGGGGCATTTGTAATTTTAATCTCACTTAACCTGCCCCTGATTTTGGCACCACGGTGGCCTTTGGACTGGTGGTGACCCAATGGCTCGTTTATGTCAGTGAGTCACTGTCTTTATTTGTTCACTGATACACATTTTTATGTTCCAAAAGTAGTATGTATTATGTGATTGTGACATATACTTTGTATGTCCAGTAACACGAAAAGTCATCCTTGACTGCTATATGGGGGGAAAAGTGGGGGCATATGTGGAAATGTCTTAAACTTTGAGACAAACTAGTGTTAAAAGCACTAGAGTCATTTTAACACTTATTGTATGCTGAATATTTACTAGGAGAGTAGACCTCAGGAGTTCTCAGCAGACACTCACAAAAAAGATAAGTATGTGAGGAAATGGATATGTTAATTAGCTTGACTGGAGTAATCATTTCACCATGTATATGATCAAAACATCATGTTGCACACCTTAAATATAGGCAATTTTAAAAATAAAATGAAAATAAGTAAAAAGTTAGAAAGAAGAGCCAAATAAAAACAGAATATGGGAGAGAGAAAAGCAATACAGGCTGCTGAGTTTAAATAAATAATCCTTTAGGCTAGAACTTCCTGTCTCTACCAAGAGTCAGACTGTACAGAACACATAATCTAACTATTGACCAAATCAATATTTATTTTTTATGCACCAATTATTTTAATGTATGTTGCTTGTATTTGTAAACCTAGAAACCTGTTGCTATATGCTAAATACATGTGTGTGAGAAAAAGCTGCATACAAAGAGCAATATAAAAATAAATATGACTAACCCTGTGGTACTCCAGTTGTCATACCTTTTTTCCAATCCAAAATAATAAAGCAGCTGTATTATAGCTAACAAATTATCAAAAGGTCTGTCACTTTACAAAGTAAATCAATATTGAATTTAAGAAGACGAATAATGGCATATTTTTAAAATTGATACTTAAGGAAAAGGGGCGTACATTCAACTTTTCAGCACTGCTTTTTAAATAGATAGCACAATATACCTAAATTTCACTTTTTTAATTTATTTTCACTTTTATCTAAAAACATGTACATGTCTTCTAATTGAAAAACCCTTTCTCAATTCTATATTCTTTTATGTTTTCCCTTTGAGTCCATTCACAGCTAAGTTTCTTAAAAGAAAAGCTTCTCAGTGGTTTCTTTTTAAGCAATGGATATAGATTCATATAAAATATCCTGCTTCTGTCTCGTATTAGTTGCTGGAAATCTCGACCAAATTTGTGGCCCGTGTCTAATAAATGTTTACACCTCACTGTACACATATTGGGAACATTTTGGGCCTTTACCACACTTCATCTTATTTTTCCATTAACCCTCATTTTCCTTCTCTTTAATGTTAAATGTATTGAGTTGGCCAAAAAGTCTGTTACATTTTTTCCATATGATAGCTCTAGTAGTGCTTAGCTGTCTTTAACTTCATTCAAAACAATTTTGTTAGATTGTATTGTGACAGCTGTCATATCAGTGTGCATTTTTAAAAAAAATTTATAAAAATTGGTGAATTTTTGTGCAGCCATTTTATTGAATATGGAGGAAAATATGCAACATTTTCAATGTATTATGCTTTATTTCTTCAAGAAAGGTAAAAATGCAACTGAAATGCAAAAGATTTGTGCAGTGTTTAGAGAAGGTGCTGTGGCTGATCAAACATGTCAAAAGTAGATAGCAAAGTTTCTTGGTACTATTTACATTTTAGCCAAATAATTCTTTGCTGTGGGGCTCTCTTATGTATTGGAAGATGTTTAACAGCACCCCTGGCTTCTACGCACTAGACACCAATAGTGGGAGACAGCTGACATGCTCAAAATATCCAAATCAATAGTTATTGGTCAAAATGAAAAATGTGTTTTTATTTTACAGAAAAAAACACAGCGGACTTTTTGGCCAACCCAATGTTTTTGAAAGCTCCACTAAATAATTTTGGGAAAAACTGAGGATTAAAGTCATATGCACATATGCAAATTTGTTTTTAAAGTAAGCAAAGGCAGAGCCTGTGACCCTTTCATTAGAGCAAGGGCCCATTTACTCAAAGAAAGAGTCTTATTTTTATTCTCCCCCTACTATTATAATCACCATAAAAAATATAAATTCTGCATAGCACACCAAAATACGTAGAAGTGGCTCTGATTCATTCTGATTAGGGCTCCCGGGTGAGGAGCCACAGGAAGTACAGGCACTTCTAGTCTTCGTGCTGGAGAAGATGGTCACCGTGTTCATGGCTCACTGGTGACCATGCACAAGTTATTTCTTCTCTGTGCCTTCTTTGTATAAGGTGGGGTCGGTATAAAAAAGCATGAAGAGAATTATACAATTTGTAAAGAAGTGTTTTTGAATAACAAAAGGGTTCTGTTATTTATGCTGAGCAATTTATTTTGTCATTTCTACAATACATTGTAGAAATGTATACATTAAATGTATACATTAAAATGTATAAACTTACAAATTTGACTAACAGGGTTTTGCCAACTATTTGCTGAAGTTTAAGGGTAGGTTTCTGTCTGGTTAGAATATAAGTGGTTCTAATTCTCAAAGCAGTGAATCCCACTCTACTAGGATATTAGGACATTTTAAGTCAAAGCCTCATAATATGCAAAACAAAATGTCATAAGTCATGTCCACGAAATGCCAAAGTTGCTAGATAAATCCTATGAATCTTCTTTATTAGAAAATTTAAGGTTTTTAATGTACCTATTTCTATATAAAAATAAGTAAATAAAAGAGTTGTATTATCTACATATCATGGCTAAAAATTTCATTTTTTTTCAACATTCAGTTTGCCTGCTTTTAAGAGCTCTGATTACATTGCCTAGCGACACTATTTACAGGCCTTAGAAGTCTGCAATTAGTAGGTTGAATAGCATTGTAGACAGGTCCTCGCCAAAGTGGTAAAGATTACTGAGATGCAATATGCCTTTTTAGAAAGAATAATAAACCTTTATATAGCCATCAGAACCAGTTCAGACTGCAGAGTAAATAACATGAAAAAAAAAAAGATGGAAAACCACAACTCTATTATAAACTTTCAAGTCCCAGAAGGGAAAAACATATGAAATACAAGGAGGCTTCCAATGTTAACCACTTAAGTATTTGGCTGTAGTTTTTAAACATATTTTCCTTTACTAAATAAATGTTAAGATTAAACAGTAAAATATATTTGACATAATCTACCTGTTATCACATAATCATTGGGAATTATAGAAAATTCTTACTTAAAAATACATTATCTTAACCAGTAAAACAAAGACTCATAACAAATTGGGTAATTAAGAATTCACTCTTCTCTCTTCTGAATTACTTTCCATTCTCCTTTTAATTCTCATAGAACAGATATTATCATTTTTATGGTCTAAATCCTACCGCAGGGAGAGGTTCTGGTTACACATCAGAATTATTAAAGTGTTTGTTGAAAATGCAGATTCCTGTCGTGTCCCCCCATCACACACACACACACACACACACACACACACACACACACACACACACACACACACCCCACACACCCCCCCCCCCCCCCCCCCCCCCCGCCTCAGTTAGTAAGTATTACGAGAAACCCACGGTCTGTTTTTAACAGCCTGCCGATCCTGCCCTGTTAAATCAATGATTCTGACCCAGCTGGTCCAGGTCTCCATGTCTGGGCACTGCGTCACTCATAGGCAATTAAAAACATGCAAGTCACTTTTTCTTTTTCCATTTTTATGCCTGGTCACTCTGCCTCATAAGTTTTCCCACTCGGCTTTTCATTACCTAGAAAAATGTAATGGTATCTCAAAACTTGGGGCATATTTCTGTGTATTCCTTCCTCTGAGCCTTTAATAAAAGATTATTATAGAAACTGAGAAAAGTGACTAATGAGCATCTCACTGAGCAATTCTACATAAGTTCTTTGCCATGACAAAACAGTGTTCCCCTCTGTCTAGTAAATGACTCATTTTAATTATTTTTGATTTGGAACTTTCTCAAGTGATTTTTTTTTTAAGTACAACTGGATTATATCCATAACTTTTCCACAAGCCTGTGTACCCCTTAAAGAAAATTGATAAAAGGAAGATCAACTACTTCCCATGGAATGTTAGTAGTACATGATATGTGCAAATCAAAGTGAATTCGAGACCAACTTCAGAGCCACTTCCTGCATAAAGCTGTCCTTAATCCAATTCCTCTTCTACCCTATGCCCTGCCCACTCCTGAATATGATGCCTCCCTCTGGAACTCTCAGTGCCTCATTGATGGTAGTTGTCTGATTCTGTCTTATATCCTAATTTGAGGCTTCCCTTTGCTACCAAAGCTTGACTTTCTGCAAGGTACAGACCATGTCTTACAGGGAGTGCCCATGAATGAAAAAGAAAATCAGTGGCTTTGTAGCCATTTTTCCTATTTTTTAAAAAAATTTTATTTTTCAATTACAATTTACATTCAATATAATTTTGTATTAGTTTCAGGTGTGGCAGTTTTCTTTACATTTATGCCTCCCCTTTCACATCCTCTACAAGTTTTTTCTTCTTTTTCCACAGGCCCACAGAAATTCTGTGACTTTCCATGACTCTTTTGTCCTCTATCCCAGCTACTTTCAACTTGGTTGTTCAAAAACTGTTGCAATAAAGCAATTTCTACCAATTGACTTTTGTGAGGTATATACACCATCAGCTTTCATAACTCAAGGTCACCTTCTTCCCAAGCCTTTTCTGTGGCTTAGTGTTTTGACCCAGGGCCTGTGAACTGCCCTAGGGGGAGGCTTACGTACCTCATCCTTCAGTAGAGTCTTACTGTACTCCAGGTGGTGCCTCTCAAGATAGAAGATCCGTGAAGCTTTGCTAATGGAGATGTGGATCTAGAAGGAAAAGAACAGGCCATGATTTTAGCTATTTAAAAAGATTATGCATAGTCCATACAATATAGGATCTTTACTACCTGAGGATTTTTTTTATTTCTTCTCTTCCTCTCCCCTAGTACCCGTGAAATGGTCAAAAGTGACATATTGAAAAAGATTTTTTTTTAATCACTTCTCTGCCTTTTGGTTAAGATCAAGTGTAGTATCTGTTCTTATCAGTTTAATATCTGATACATCCTCTACCTGAGGACATTACATTAAATGGATTTTTGGAGCTGGGAGATGGAACAGGAGCTTGCTCTGTCCACTCTGCACATTGGCCTGGTATTGCAGTACTTCCGGGAATGGTGCACCAAAAAAAAAAAAAAGATATTTTATATTTAGAAGATAAGAATATGCTCTTTAAAGCAAATTCTTTAAAAAAAAAACAACACCCTAATTTGTTGAATGCATAAAATGACTGAATTGTTTAAACTTGGAAGTTTGGTTTATCCCCTGCACCTAAAATCTTTGTTCCCCAGAATTCATGGTGGTAGAATATGACTTACAGAACATGTAGCAAACGTGTTGAAGCCTATAGATCATTTGTAGAGAAAGTGTTCGTTAAGAATAAAATATTCTTATAAATAAAGCATAGGGAATATAGTCGATAATATTGTAATAACTATATATGGTGTCAGATAGGCTTATCAGGGTTATCAATTTGTAAGTTATATAAATGTCTAATCAACACGTTGTCCACCTGAAACTAATATAAAATTGTATGTCAACCAGAAATGAAAAATTTTAAAAAGCATTAGAGAGGAGAAAGAATTTCCAGGAACCAAAATGAAAATCACTGTCAAGTAGTATTTCTTTCCTCCTCGAAGACACTGAGATAAATTTAAACTTAAATTTCCTGCTTGAGCCCTGACTGGCAGGGCTCCACCAGTCGAGCTTTGCTCTGCAAAGCAAAAGGTCGCCTGTTTGACTCTGGTCAGGGCATGTGCCTGGGTTGCAGGTCCCGTCCATGGTTGGAGCACCTGCGAGAAGCAGCCCATGCATATTTCCCTCCCTTTCTTCTTCTCTTCCTCTCTCTCTAAAAATAAATAAAAAGAAAATAAATTTTCCATTTGTTAAGTTTGGGCCACAGCTTTATGTAAACAGGGACCTCAGTCTTTGGTACCCTCTTTTTTCAGTTCTTTCTGTCCGAGGAAGGGAAGTAACATCAAAAAATAAAAAGGTAAGGAAAAGAAAAGATGAAGAGAGGCTAAGGCCAAAGGTTTACCTTGTTAATGTAGAGATGTTGTCATAGAATAATGGGATAAATATATTTAAGAATGGAAGGCTTCTTAGAGAAGCTTCATTTTATTTCAGAAAGAACAGAACTTTATGGAGGGGAAGAGTCATTAACAGGTCTGGGAAGCCAAATACTCTACCTAGGGATCAGAATTCTGACTCATAGTCAAATGCCTACTCTGTGTCAGCACTGGAGAAATAACAAAAAAAAAAAAAAAAGAGTAAAGCTCAATTTCAGTTGAAAAAAGTGGTTTCTTTATTTCCTTTGGGTATAAAAACATTAGTCAAAAAAGGTTACTGGGGAACTAGATATCCACCCACTCTCAAAGTAATACCTCACAGATGATTTATTCATACAAAGGAGAAAATGTACCTTTGCATAAAGAGATCAACTAGACATTCATAAATAGTTTAACTTAACCTCATAGATAATGGGACAAATTAACGTCATAGGTCTGTTGATGCAAGGCACTAAGAAGAACACAACATCTATATAGAATTCCCTACCCAAAACGTCTTCCCTGAATCTAGTGACCTGGAAACAATCAGACAAAGTCAAATTGAGTCATGTTCTGCAAAACAGTTGGCCTAGACTCTTCAAAAGCATCAACATCCTGAAAGACACAGCAAGTTAAGAAATGACTCTAGATTAAAGGAGACTAAAGATATTGACAACTAAACCTGGTTGCAAGGTGATTTTCATTTATTCTCCCCTTAGACACTTTCAAACATCACAAGTACCTGCTGACGTTGCACATGTGTTCACTTACTTCATCTGATACAGGTTATTGGTGCCTCTGTGGTCAATGTCATGGCAGAAAGCAGCAGCGAGCGTGGCAAAGTCTTCAAGATCTGTACAGTATTTCTTTAGCTTTCCTGTCTAAAATATATAAATACATATATATATGTTTATGGATTAATACTCCTCTACAGCACGTGCTGTGAGGCCTGTCTGCCATGAAGAAGGGGACCTGCTGTATTTTTAGCGCTAGCTGGTTTTATTTCTTGTTGAGTATTATAGCTCATTCTGGGCAATCACAAACTCCAGCAGGATGAGAGGGGTTGGGGGGATGGATGACAAAAATAAAGGGATTAAGTTGTACAAATAGCCAGTTAAAAGAACAGTCACAGGGATGTAAATTATAGCATAGGGAATATAGTCAATAATATTGTGATAACTATGTATGGTGTCAGGTGGGCACTGGATTTATTGGAGTGATCACTTGGTAAGGTATACAAATGTCTAATCTCCATGCTGCACGCCTAAAACGTATATAATATTGTGTGTCAACTGCAACTGAAAAATTAATTTTTTTTAAAAACGAGCAAGCAGGTAACTGAAATTTCCTTTAAGGAGGTAAGTGTCCTCACTTAGTAAGTTTAAGATTTCCCTTAAAAGTGATAATCCACCCAAGTGCCCAGGGATCCTCACAGTGCCTGGTATCGTCTACAGTGGAGTTTGGGGCTGATGGGATTGGGTCCATAAATTCCAGAACTACCGATCTAAACCGATGGGCTGTCTCCAGTTCTCTCCCTGCTCAACAGGGAAACGTGCAGGTTTCTAATGATTGACAGCGCTCTGCACCTACCATCAGCGAAGTGAACATGGTCTGCCCCACATTGAACCCGTGCCGCCAGCTGTGGTAAGTGACGGAACGGTACTCTTTTCTCACGGTGTACAGCCATCTGGTAAGAACCTGTCACCAAAGGAAGATAACACCATTCAGACTTTGGAACAGAATGCTAAAGTTTAGAAGGTCTGTGACAATCTTATCAGTTGGTCTTGTTTACAGAGGTTAAGCAGATATATTTACAAAGTTAATAATAATTTAAAATCCAAACTGAAGTTAATCTTTTAAACCACAGGAAACATTAGGGAGGTATAGCAACAGAATCACCCGGTATTTTACATTATGGTCCATCTAACCTCTACAGGTACTTTGAATTTCTCCACCACATGTATTTCAAAAAACAGTCATAGTCCGCACTTAATCAGTCCATGCTCTGTAATGGGGAAGTCACTGAGGTGAAATTCATACAGGTCTAATGCCTTTGGGTCTGGTAAGTCCTCTTTCTGTTCAAATAAAAACAAACTGTGTCAGATTGCATTCATCTATTTTTCCCTGTGGTCTCACACATCCAATATTGGGTGTGAAAAAAAATTGCAATAAAAAGACACCATTGCAATTCACTGAGCCTTTATGTACCTGCACTGGGTTCTGCAGTTTGCATGTATTATCCTCACAACAAACCTGCACAATTATCCCAGCTTACAGATGGTGAAACTGAGACTCGGTTATATCAAGAAAAGTTCTAAGCATTGGGATTCAATTCCAATCCTATTCCAGTAGCTTTTTGCTTTCTATGATGCACAATAAAACATTTGGTTGCAGCAGCTATACCCATTTTCAATTTTCAACTTCTTTTTTTCCTTTTCAGGAAATAATCAGAAAACAGTTAGTGATTGTTTAATTCAGTTCTATCATATTTTCTTTACATGCTCAGTGATGCTTTCCCATGAGACTGTGAGCCGCACCAGAGCGGGATCATGTCTCTCTTGGTTGCTGGGCTGTCCCAGAGGCTGCAGTGCCTGTCCCAGGGTGAGGCATTCAGTGCAGCCTTAGTTTAGCAAGCAGAACATTTCCATCACAGATTGTGAAGGGGCAGAGGAAAACAGGATGAGGCAGTTAATGAGTAGAATAAATGTGCTACTATTTCAATTTCAATCAAGTTGTATTCAAGTTTTTAACATTCAAAGCCTAGGGGCCTCGGCTTTCAGTTGGGATCACAGAAGGTCCAAATTCTATAAGAAAAGGGCTCTACCTTTGTAGCAAGGCCAAAACTGAAATAAGCCATCCCTAACAAAATCTAAAACAAACTTTATTCACCTGTCAGAAGAAAATCTAACCCTCTTTGCAGAAAGATAATACCACCCAGTGGCTCTACAAGTTTTTATGCACAATGTCCAGTTTTCAGTGGAAAAAAATTATGAAGCATGCTTTAAAATGATCAAATGACTGAAACCCAAGAACAAAACTAGACAGTAGATCCTAAAGGTGATTCAGGTATTGAGATGAAAAATTTAAAATAACAGGTCAATAAATTCAAGAAAACAGGTAAAAATAGGCAAAGCAAATAAAATAATGAAAAGGTGTTTTTTTTTTTGAAGATTTGATTTATTTGTTTTTAGAGATGGGGAAAGGAAGGAGAGAGAGAGGGAGAGAAACATTGATCGGTTGCCTCTCACACGCTCCCCAACTGGGGATCAGCCTGCAGCCAAGCATGTGCCCTGACTGGGAATTGAACCGCAACCTTTTGTTCTGCAGGACACTGCTCAATCAACTGAGCCTCACTGGTGAGGGCAAAATTATGAAAACTTTTAATACAGAGTTGGAATCTTAAAAAAAATTAAATGTATATTCTAGAACCAAAAAAGATTGTCTCTGTAGTGAAAAATTATTGGATGAGTCTAACCCTAAACTGTGGAAATGAGTGTGGGTGGGTTTAACAGTAGACACAACACAATACAGAATTAATGCATGGGAAAAGGAGTTAATTTCAACCAGAAACAATAGAGGTGGCTCAATGAAAATAAAAAGGGAAATGAAATCCTCAGGGCTCCAGAAGGGAAGCTGGCGACGGCTGTGATAATTGTGCCTAGAAGGGGCCTGTATTCTGGATTCCTGTCGTGTCTTCTCGGGTGGCCATGGCATAATCCAGAGCCATTAAAATAAATTAGGCCATGACATCTCTAAAATCTGTGCCTAATGCCATGGTCTAGTTTAGTTGTGATTCTAAATTATCTGTGTGGATCAGACCATAGGGGACGAAGAAGGTAAGCAAGGGGACAGAAATTGATTCTTTAGAAGAAATATGCTTTTTTTTTTTTTTTTTTTTTTTAGCTTTGAAAGTTGCCAGGGAAGAGGAAACTCGGTATTTATTTGAAAAATGGGAAAGCATGTTCTAATGTATTTTATTTAAAAAGTGTTAAGAGTAGAAGTAAGACACATACCAAAATTGTCACAAGTTGTTTTTCTTCACAGTCTTCAATTACATCTATATTTAACTTCTCTTGAAATTTCTAAAATGTAAAACCAATTGAGATGTGAAATTCCTATAAAGGAGAGGAATTCTATCTGATTCTTCTGCTCTTAAAATCAGTAAAAATATATTTTAAATATGCTGTGATGAGTTTCATGACAAAGATGTAGTCTGGGTACAAAGAAGACCTAATACATCTGATTAAAAGAGTTTTCTCCAAGAAATAATGTAATATAATTGATTTCTCTATTCCTCTGAAAAGTAACAGTAGCTGTCTGGGGTGGGGGAGGGGGGAGAGAAGTGAGTTGTTTGCATGTTGATTCTATTCATTTATAGCAATTTCCCTTTACTCTCCCCAGAACTTCTTATCTTCAACATCTCAAAATCTCAAGTCAAATTCTCTTAACTCTCAAATCACCTAGGAAAACCAGAACCAGCTCCTCCACACACACACACACACACAAAAATAATAATTAAAAAAATCACCCAGCAAAACTATATCTATGCACACACTCTAAAAGCTGGGCAATTAGAACTCTGTTAGCAAATATCTGCTAGCTCTCCCAGCATCCATGATGTTGGTCATGTTTGGCCAATAAGTGAAGACTTGAAATGTGCTTGCACAGTGGGCTTGCTCTGTTGCACTCTGTTGCGTTCATGAGTAGAACACCTATCAAGGAGCACCTGATCAAGAAAAATGAGAGAGACACACAAAGCAAACCAAACTCACAGCTTGGAGCCAAGCCCAACCAAGATCAGTCGAAGCCTGGTCAACCCAGAAATGCATGAGTGAGAATTAGATGTTCATTTTTGAATACCACTGAGATGTTATGGTTGTTATGCAGCATTATGTGGCAATGGCTGACTGATATTTCCCTTCCTGGAAAGACATATTTTTTTCTTGCTAACATACTTGAATTTAAATACTACTACTGAAGCACCTATAGACCTGGAAGCTATTCTTAACAAAGTGCTATTCCAACCAAGCAACTTGGAAGTCCAGTCAGGGTCTATGTGCATTGGGCTACCCAGGTCCTCCACCAACACCTCCTTCTTTGCCTCCCCTCTTTAGCTCAGCCCTACACCTATTCTCATTAGTCAGACCTCTGGGTAATTAGGTGAATTCCAGAAACCTGTTTAAATGCCACCTAATGTCCACAGGACCAAATCTCCTACTTATCAAAATAGAGTTGATTTCATCAGGAGTAGCTTTGGTCTGGCCCATGAGCATTTCCTGAGCAATGTCCTTTCTCTTTTCTAGCTTACTAATTTTCTCATAAGTATCAGTATTTAAAAGAGACCATCCAAGAAATTGTGTGAGACTCTGAAATGTATAAAATGTGATTCAATTATCTAAAATAGAAGGAAAATCGACTTGAAAGCAGCAATCTGCATGTTTCCCTATCAATCTCCCTTTTGATCTAAGGAAAAAAAATACTAATAATGCTCCAGACAACAAAATTGACTAAGCCCTTGATTTCCAAAGTGCATCATGCACCCTGAATACTTTATTAGAGGAGAGAAATTATAAAAATCTAGTAGAATAAGCACGACCTGAAAATCGGAAAGAGAGCTGGGGGTGAGAGCAAGAATGAGAGGGAACAGGAGGGGGTGGGGAGGAAGGAGATAGAAACCTTCTTTCTCAGTTTCCTAGTACTGGAAAGAATTTTGATTAAGTCCAAAGTTCATATTTTAGTAAAAAATGTTGCAGTTCACAGAAGTCAAGAAAGAAGGAAATAACACAATAACAATGCAATGGCTGTAACCATGTGTGACTCATATCTTAATTGTCCTTCAAAAATATCATTCCAGAGTAACAAATAATTATGCATCCTCTATTATATCATGAATCTCATGTATTCCATTATTTCATCATTGCACTTACCTCAGTAATGTGTTCATCATACTCATCACAAGGTTTCCCATCCTTCCTGTTGTAAAATGTAGCTACTCCCACAATGTTGTCTTTCTTGTTGATGATAGGCAGGGACAAGATGTTTTTAATGACCCAGGCAGTTTCATCTACTGGTCCTTTCTATAAACAATAAAGGCACCTAGGTTATTTTTAATTTTGAAAAAGTTATAGATTCACAGGATGTTGCAAAAGAAATATATGGAGCGGTCCCATGAACTCTTCACCCAGTTTTCTCAGTGGAACATCTTGCATCACTGTAGTACAGTATCAAAACCAGAAATTAGACCTTGGTGCAATCCATGAAGCTTATTCAGATTTTGCCAGATTTATATGTATTTGTGTGTGTGCGTGTGTGGTTCTATGCAAATTCATCATGTGTCGATAATGTGCAACTTCCACTAGAATCGAGATGCAGAACTAACCCAGCACCACAAGGCTCCGTTGCCTCAGTCCTTTAAGGCCACCACCCCACCGTTCCCCACTTGTGTTATTTTTAATTTAAAGAAAGAATAATCTTTGGGTGTTAGATGCACAATTCCCAAACTGTGTCAGAACATGTCTAGGATTATATACCATAAAAGTATTCTAGTACATTTGATTAAGTGTACTAGAACCAACTGCCTATTTCTAACAGCCTAATCTCTTCTGTCTCCCCAGCCCTTTGGATGAAAAGAAGCACCTACCTCTGTGTTGTCTCAGTGTTCCCTGTTCAGTTTTTCTGTCCTCCAACACCTGTTTGCTAATTCCTTATACCAAATTCTTTCTGTCGAAATACCTAGTGTGGTTTCTGTTTTCCTGACTGATCTACCAAGGTAGTCTTTTGTTCTGTGATATCGTTCTATCTAGTAAACACCTGTCAAGCCCTTACGATGTATCAAGACCTGGGCTAGTTGCTGGGCATAGAAATGAATAAAGCACAGGGGCCTTACCCTCAAAATGACGGCAGTCACATGGGGGATGCAGACACAGATATTTGGAAATGTTTCACAAAGTGCGACCCAAGGACCACAAGCAAGATTTTTTTTAGCTTGTTTCATGATCTCTGGGCATGCGCCCTGAATAAGCTCCTGGGTGACCCCGATGCCCTCTGAAGTCTGAGAACCACGGGGTGCCACTGCACAGCACGCAGCTAAGCGAAGGTAGCCAAGCACTCAACACACCGCGTTATTCATCCGTCAGCCTCCCATCTTGGGTCACCCTTCGAGGCCCAGGGTACGCCTCTCCTCTCCCAGGAAGCCTTCTCTAACTTTTTCCACCCATATGGAACTTATCTTTTTTAGAATTCCAACAGCATTTATAGCCTGGACCGTATAATTTAGCATTTAGATATTCTCCACATGCTTCAGAATTGCTTTTTGTGTCTCTGAGTCTAACGCCAACTACGGGTATGGGGGATGCGAGGCGGTGCTATTCCTCTGCCCTAGCGCTGAGAGGCGAGGCCTGGCGGAGGGCAAGGTTACCTGAAATGTGAAGTATTCATCTTCAGGGGCATTCAGCATGTTACATATCTGTAAAGCAAGAGGAGGCAAAAGTTCTGAAACGTCATGTGGTGAAGCCATTAAACCCACAATGCAAAACGAAGAGAACGCATCCATCAGGTGGTGAATATTGCTTCCATAGGTCTTAATGGCTCACAAGCGAATTTCTGTATTTTGCCATGCATAATGTGCATATTTCTGCCCAAATTTTTGAGGGAAAAATAAGGATGTGCATTATACATGGGTATAATGATTATGTACCATGAGTATAATAATCCCACGCATCATGCACACACACAAAAAATGAGTGTGCATTACACATGGCAAAATACGGTAATTACAGCGGACCTTGGTGAGGCCAAATTTGCTAACAACGCATTGAACTCAGCTTGTCTTCTTCTAATTAAGTCATTGGATGACATTTAGCACCATCTCTGCTCCTTCCTACTTTCCCAGCCTCTAAAGATTCTTCTTCCAAATTCAAAGCAACTAGATGAATGAACACTGCCAAAAATAAAAGGACAACACTAAAGAAAAACAAATATGCAAATAAATGCTTTAAATACATTTCAGAAACTTGCATCTGAAGAAGGAAGGAATAAAAATGCTAACATGAAGAAATGTTGAAAGCATCAAACACTTTTGCAGGGAGAAATTTTGATGCCAAAAAAAGACACAGATCATGGAAAAGCCCAGCTCGGAGGAAAAGTTGGCCATGAGAAGGGAAGAAAGTGGGAAAGCTGTGGTGGCCTTGTCCTCTGGCCTTGAGACTATGGGACCAACCAGAGATCTGCTGTTCATTGTTTTCCTACACCTGCCCTTTCTTTCTCAGCCAGACCTGGACTGCTGTTCACCTGACCCCACCTGACAGACCAGGGCAAAAATCTTCACTTCCTTTATCAACTCACTACGTTCTGCACTGCAATCAGTGCCAAAGTTCTCCCTTTAAATATTTTTTTTCTTCTGCTAGAAATCTTCCATGCTTCAAGTCTTGACCAAGGGAGCTATACTTGATGTCAAATTAAACCCAACATGAACCATGCTCATGGGCTTCCAAAGGACTCTGAAATTTGTGTGGCTGCAGAATTAAAAGTGGGGGACGGCTATGGATATTACAAAGGTCATACTGTTATTTAGTGTATTGCATGGTATTCACTTCATGGAAGGTAAGGGAAATGTGTCTTTCTAGTCTTCGTATCACAATATACTGTGTTTTATTCTAAACAGTTTGATTCTGTCTTTGGAACACTGTGACCTGATCAGCTTTCCCTTTTCTAACTGACCACTGGAAAACTAAGAACAAATGTGTGGCCTAGTTTTATTAGTGTGGAGGGCACTGGGTAGCAAGTTGTTATTATCTTCAGTTCTGGCCCTCATTTACACCCTACCCTTGTTTTTGTTTTTTTTCTTTCTCTTTTACACCTATTTCTATTTTGTGTTCTACTGTTTTATTTGGTTGTTGAAACTTAAATCCTTTTTGTTTGCATCTCTTAGTTAATGAGTTTCACCCAATATTATTCAAGATTTTGTTCAATAACTTACAAATCCATTTTCAGCAACATACGTTGGCAGCCCGCTAACGAGAGTCCAGTGATCTGCGGGAGGTGTCCTTGAGGAAGACTGGGAGAAAGGAAATCAATGCTGTGCAGAGAAATGCGCTGTGTACAAAAATGAGATGGCAACTCCTGAGGTGCTTTGTGACAATACTCACAGAATCACTTTGATCTCTTCTTTTCCATGTAAAATGTAATCAATGACTTTATAAAAGATGATTTCCTAAGAGAAAGAGAGAGATTATGAGGGGAAAAAACCTTATTTCCCCCAAAATGCTTTTCATTAATGAACTTATATTAATAGAAGAACCTTATTCCCCAACCACACTTCTCTGCATAATATAAATGACCAAACTGTTCGTGTTCTGCTTACAAGCCTGTAATAAAAATAGAAATACGATCAGCTATTAATCTACATGAATACGCCTTTTGAATTAAATTTAAAAAGGTGAATTTGCCCAATTTTTAGGAGAAACTGGCTTTTCCTTTAACTAATTCCTCAGCTGTCCAGAGGCACCTGATTGATAACTTCAGGGGAAAAACCATGTAATTTCTCAAGCTCGGTCAATGTTTCTCCTTCCCACCTGCACAGTGAGCACCTACCCACTTCCAGCACTGGCTCATCTGAACAGATGCCTCAGAAACAGGATTTGGTGGATATGTTGAGAGCTATTCTCTACTTTTCTGGAGAGATGAAGAGCCTGAGGCCTAGACGTGTTCTATCCCATTCCCTTCCCTTTCCTGTGTGCTGGGGATACAGTGGTAAACACAGTCCAGCCCTGAGAAGCTCGCAGTCAAGGGGAAGTCAACCTCACCCAACCCTTCCCTAGAGACTCCAGTCCAGCATGTCAGAAGAAGGACTTGGGCACAGAACGTTTCAAAAGCTGTGCAAGTAGCTCTGATGTGATCCTTCCTGTTGACAACCACAGGTCTCAAGCCGTGGCTTTACAGGAAAAGAAACTGAGAAGTTAAACAATGAGTTAAAACACAGGTCATCCAGCTGGCTTGGGGCAAAGCTGGGCCTGGAACTTCAAACTCTCTGTGCAGTAGTCTTTCTACTATTCCAAGGTCCCACAGAAAGTTGCAGGACTAGAACTCAGGTGCTCTCGGGCTCGTGCTCTTTCCTCTGCGCACGGCTGCCTCTGGTTTTAGAGCACGGCACCACGCACAGATATCACCAAGGGAGAGGTTTGCACTCATTCTGCCATCCGGTGTCTTTGGACCTTTATAAGGCTCAACTTCTCCAACCTTGATTGGCCATTCGTCATAGATTTCCTGGAGGCAATTACATTTAAACGTTATTTTAACAAACTGTTCTATGACCTACCCTAATTTATATGAATTTCATTTGTTTGCATATTTTATGTTAATTTATGATTCTGGAATTTTAGAGTTGAAAAAGATCTGTCATTCCCAGAAATACTGCTTATAGGAACTTGTAACTGTGAACAAGTCACTTAACGTTTCTCATCAGTAAAATGGGGATAATAATAGAATTTATACTACAGGGTTGTTGTGAGGACTAAATGAATAATACATACAGAGCACCTACCCTGACACACAGTTAAAAATACTCAATAGAGAGCAGCTCTTTTATAGATAATTAAACTAAGTCCTGATAGGTTAGGAGGCTTGGCCAAGGTCACAAAAATAGCCAACGGTGTTGATTGCCTTACTTAACTTCCATTCTGCCCTATTCCTTGCTAACAGAATCTGTTTTACTTGGGTATCAGGGGGTAATCTGCTCAGGGATCGTGGGCCCTGCACAGCCCACGAGTGGACTACCCGAGGTGCCTCGGACTAGCCCGAGGGCAGGCATGTGGCCCAGTCGTGGGTAGCAAAGATGGAGAAGTCTGCCAGGCGGCTGCGGGGGGAAGGCATGCCTTGGATGAAAGGTGATGAAAGTGACATTTGCAGCATTTGCAGGATGTTGTAATGCAATATTGTCCATGACTTATATTCAAAATATACAAGGAGCTCTTAAAATTTAACGATAACGAGAAAAACAACCTAGTTAAAAAGTGGGCAAAAAACCTGAACAGATGTCTTGCCAATGAAGGCATACAGTTGGCAAGTGAGCATACGAAAAGAAGCTTCACATCACATGTCATCAGGGAAATGTAAATTAAAACAATGAGATACTGCTACACATCAATTAGAATGGCTAAAATCCAAAACACTGACATCACCAACTGCCGGCAAAGATGTGGAGCAACAGAAACTCTCATTTATTGCCAGTGGAAATGCAACATGGTACAGCCACCTTAGAAGACAGTCTGGCAGTTTCTTAAAAACTAAATATAGTCTTACCATATGATCTGACAATAGCCCTTCTTGGTACTTATCCAAAGAAGTTGACAACTCATGTCCACATAAAAACTACACTTCATTTATAATCGCCAACATTTGGAAGCAACCAAGAAGATGACCTTAAGTAGATAAATGAATAAACTGTGGTGTATCCAGACAATGGAATACTATTCAGCATTAAAAACAAAGTGAACTATCAAACCATGAAAAGACATGGAGGAAACTTAAATGCATATTGCTAAGTAGCCCAATCTGAAAAAGCTATATGATACTAAGCACATGATTTTTTGGAAAAAGAAACTATAGAGGCAGTGAAAAAAAAAGTCAGTGGTTGCCAGAGACCTGGGGTAGAGAGAGGGAGGGATGATTAGATGGAGAACAGGATTTTTTTGTAAACTATTCTGTATGACCCTGTCAAGGCAGATATGTGACACTGCATTTGTCAAAACCCATAGATTGTACAACACAAAGAGTGAACCTGAACATAAACTGTGGACTTAGGTTAATAATAATGTATCAGTATTGATTCATCAACTGTAACAAATGCACCACATTAATGCAAGATATTATAATAGGAGAAACAGATCATAGGGAAACTGGGGGGCGTGGGGAAGGGAAGGGAACATATATGGGAACTTGCTGAACTTTCTGTAACCCTAAAATTTCTCTTAAAAAAATAAAGTCCATTAATTAACATTTAAAAGGAAGAAAAGACTCATTGAAGACACAGGCAACTAGAAAATAGAAAAGCCAAGATTCTAGAGCTTTTTTGCTCCAAAATGTGCACTTTTTACCTCTGTACTGTATTTTCTTGGCATTGGTTCTTATCTATCAAGACTGATTATTTACATAGCATATCCACTTTTTAATGGATCACATTTCATGTGATATGCATTTTACAGGTGATTTTAAGCAAGAAAAAATGTATGGAACAATGAGGACCTTCTCCTTGGCCATGTCCAGCAGCCCAGTGGAGTAGCCCTCACAGTTCAGGTACGTTCAGACTGTGTAGAGCACTTTGTGAAACTGTCGCTCATATCTGTGAGCTCTTCAAATACTTTATTGGCTGACCACATAAGGATCTGAAAGTAGATTTTAAAACGAAAACTGTCAGAACAAAGTACGCCATGGAGAGACAGAGCTTTCACCAGGAGGTGCATCAAATAAAATGAAGCCATATCACTAGGCAATGCAATTCCTTATTTGAACAAGTCTGTGTCCAACAAACTACTGATTGCCTGCAAGGCTGTGGGCTTATGAAAGAGGGTAGGCTACGATTGGTCCCTATGTCCAAGTGTTTTGGCTTCGAAGGGCAAGCGGTCTAAAATTGGTTGCAGAGACAGCCCCTGGGCAGAGAGCCCAGTCTTGGTGGCCCCGGCTCCTGCTGCCCCTCACTGGGAGGAAGCCACATGCCTCCTTCCATGCATCCTGAGCCTGTCAAAGGTGACCCTACCTGGACGGTTAGAAGAAAGGGGACCTTGGAAGCCTTCTAGCCCAATCCCCTCCCACCATTGTATTAGTGAGGAAACTGAGGCCCAAGGAGCAGGGAGCGGTCCAGACCTGGGTATCCTGGCTACTGATGTTGTTTTTATACCTCTGGCTCAAGGAGGAAATAGACTTCAGAGCAATGATTCGTTCCTCAAATTCATTGCTTTATGTACCAGGAACTGCTAAGAGCTTTATGTAAACTAATGTATCTAATGACCATTGAATAATCACAAAAAGCACGTGGGGGGGGGGCACTACAGTTACCACTGTCACCGCCTGGATGAAGAAGCCACGACTACCTGGGATGAGGGCCGAAGAAAGGCAAGCCGGGCGTGCGCACCCAGAGCAGGGCGGGTAGGAGCGGACGGAGAGCCGGGGCAAACCATGAAAAGTCACCTGGGACTGAAATGTAGGGATCTGCTCCGTGTGCCTTAAATCCCCACAAGGAAAAGGAGGGGTCTGGGCTTGTCACCCCTGGGTCCCTTTGTCGGAACAAGTCAGCACGGAGTCATTAATGTCACCTTCCCTTTACCTGGCTTCTTCGGGATTCAACGCTGTACAGGTAGTTGGTATGATGAAGCTTTAGGATGACAAAAACAAAGGCGAGGTATTGGGAAAAGACCTCCAGAAGACAGAGAAAAACAAACAGGTGTGCCGTCTTTCTTTCGGATATGTTATATAACAAATAAACTTCCTGAGCCTCCAACCGATGCCCAGGCTTAACGTTACCTCTTCACTTCTTAGTCCTGTTTGGAAAATTCAGATGCATCTACTTTGTTAACTGCCATAACCACAGCCAGAACCTCCTTGCCCATCACGAGTGGCGCTGCCAGCAGGTTCCTAGTGACACACCCGGGGTGTGTGTCCATGAAGTCGGAAAAGTGACTGTTCTGAAAGACACATTCACACGGTGGCCAAAGCAGTGCAGAACCATGGAGTGTCGCTCCAGAAACGGCAGCAGGTCCTTCTGTCTAGTCCAGATTCTACCAACAGATAACCAGGGCCCCAGCACCGTGGTCCTGAGCAAACATCCCCCACCCTGCCCCATCCCACAACTGCAGAGAATGAAATTGCCCGTCTCAGAGCGAGCACCTCCCAGCTGGCCCGAGGCCCTGCGAGGCTAGGCCGAGGGTGGGCCGGGGAAAGAGGTGTGTCACGGCCCAGCGGAAGGACGGTGCTAAGAGGGAGGGAGGGAAAGACTGAGGGTTACAGCAAATAGAAAGCGTGTGCGGGGCAGGAGAGCACAGCTGGGGTTACACATGTATATCAAAGAGCTCTCCTTTTTTTTTTTTTTTTTAATTCTCACCTCACAATACATTTATTGATTTTAGAGAGAGAGGAAGGGAGAAAGGAGGAGGGGGGAGAGAGAGAGAGAGAAATCTCGCCTGCCTGCCTCCTGTACACGCCCTGACAGGGGATCAAACCTGCCACGCAGGCATGTGCCCTGACTGGGGATGGAACCCGCAACCCTTTGGTGCACAGGACGATGCTCCAACCAGCTGAGCCATCCAGGCAAGGATTATTCTTTTTAATTACAAAAGTAAAATGTGCAGTTGAAACTAGAGAACCAGTATATCATAACATAAAGGAAAAAAATCAGTAATCCCCCAAACTTCTAATCTTGCCTGAGGAAATCAGTGTTAACTGCCTGGCATGTCTCCTTCTATGTCTTACTCTACGCTTGGACAAAGGTGTTTCTTTTCTGTTTTTTTAATACAATGTTCCTTTCTCATTTTATACAATACTTTCAGCATACAACAATATTTTATGGACACCCCTCCAGACCAACACACGTGGATGTGAGTTTACCTCCTAGATTCTTGCACATCCCTCCACAGTGTGGCAACTCCACGACCCACTCACCGTCCTCTACCGGTTCAGTCTGTAGTTTTCTCCACTACAAACAAGGCGGCACTGACCGTTCTTGCTTTTATGCTTATGTGACGGGTTTCCCGAAGTAGAAATTCCTTTTGCTGGGTCACCAAGTATGTGCAGTTTTTAATTTACACAGATGACTTTCACAAAGGATTGGAATTCTTACTTCCACTGGTCATATGTGAGAGGACCACCTTCTTACCAGCACCACATCCTAACCAGCCATTACTGTTTTACCAAGCTAATGCCTTTTATTCATGTAGTTTTTTCCTCTCTTTAGGAGAGAGGTGGAACTTCCCAGATATGAGCCTCATGTGGCAGATGCAAGAGATGATTCTAATAAACCATAGGAAGAGCAGAGAGATGAGTTTGGAGAGGTGAGCAAATAAACGGGCTTGAGAAGACGGTCAACAATGGCTGTTATCACCCTCGCTGTTATTTGGAGGAATACTAACTCCTCACAGGTATAGGCTCAGCCTTCCATGGTCCTTACTATCTCTTCTTTAAACCTGAGGTATCCTCAATTAGAACTGAACTTTCAACCTAACCCTGAGACTCATTGGCCAAAATTAACACGGCATTGCTTTCCCAAGCTCTGTTATTTTCATTTCCTCATGTTGATGGTGCTTCTAAGAGCGGCACAGACCTTGGAGGCTGGACTCCGCCCAGCTTCCTAAAGTAAAAAGGTGAGAGTCCACTGGGGTGTAACTCATGGGCCAGAACTCCCACCAGGGGACACAGGCTGCCTGGTCAACAGAACCCACAGCTCAGCTCAGAGCAGTTGTCCCTGGCTGTGCCTCAGAACCGCCTGCTGATAAAGGCAGATTTGCAGAGCTCACAGCAGACCCATAATCCTCATCTCCTGAAGTGGAGTCTGTCTGCCCCAGGCATCTGCACTTTCAGGGGGTGAGCCACTCCTGTGGAGAAGCCCTAGAAGTGGGACTTTTTACAAAGAAAATGTGAGGTATTAAGGGAGGCACACGCAGGCCTCTGCCCCCGGTCCCTTCCACGCCTTTCCCAATGTGCAACCACGCAAACCACTCTATATTTAGGAGGCAACACTGCATAATGGTAAAGAAGGTTCTGGAGTCAGACTTCCTTGACTGAAACCAGGCCCCAGTTTACTGGCTAGCCGCGTGATCCGGGGCATGCTGCCTTACCTCTCTGTCTTTGTTTCCTAATCTGTAAATGGCAAGAACCATTTTATCTACTATCTAGAATCCCTGTCATAAAGAAAGAATAACATAGTGTCAGTGGAGCACTTAGAACAGTGTCTTGATACAAAGCGAGTGTTCAAAAAATACTAGGAAGAAGAATTTGAAACTGTTGGGGGCTTCCCTGGGTGAAAAATAGTTCTCTTTTACAATTGCCATTTTGCTTCTAGTTCTAGTTTTTCTCACCACTTCTAATTGCTAATGAAATTAGATGCCTTTAGCTGAGGTCAGCCTCCTGTGCCTGGGAGCACGCTTCCTTCTGGGGGCCAACACTCTGCCCCATGCCACCGAGAGCCACATTTCTTTCCTAATGACCTTACCTGTCACTGCTCTCTGCTCCCTGCAGCACCTGCCCTCTCAGGCCAGGGCATCCTCAGGTCTAGTGAGGTTCTTTCTCTTAATCTGCTGTGTGCCCAGGCCAGCTCACATTCTGTTTTCCTCCTAACCTGTCACCCATTACAGAGCATGATCACCTCCATTTACACAGCGTCCCTGGGCACTGAAGAGACAAGCAGGACACCAGAAATACATACCACGGGATGGAGCCGGCACCTCCTGGTTAACACTTTGGTCTGTAGCTTTAGCACTGGATGCTCCTTCACTCTAGATTCTACACTCAAGAAAATGTTCTCAAATTCAGTTGGCTGTTTAGAGAAAATGGTGTATAAGTTTGAAAACAGAATGCTTGCTTATTATTGTATTGGAAAGCCCTGGATAAACTCATCCATCAAATTATAGGGTGGGCAAAATGAGATTTTCTGCTATTTTATTTTCACTAGCTCAAACAATCCTTACTGAAGTTTGTTTGAGTAAACTCTGTATTTCTCAAACTCACAAACTCCCTTTGATGGTCCTTCTTCAAAGAAGCCTCTAAGAGCAACTGGAGAGAACTTTGTTTAGAAGAGCAGGCCACTGGGTCCCTCATCCTATCGTAGCATTGTTAGACTCTGATCAAATACAATTATTCCTTGTGATCAGGAGTCAGAAAGGGAGGAGAGAAGGATGAGAGAGGAGGGAGGGAAGGGAGCTATAAGTGTCCTGTTAATCATTGAAAACTTAGGACTTCTCCATGGCTTTTTTTTTTTTTTTAAATCATAGTCAGAATGAGAACCGCCCATCCATAGAGTTAATCAACAGCTTTCCCAGTAGAAAAAGAAATGATTAACTTGAAAGGACTATCTCTCAGTTTCCTGTTATTCAAAGTTTTCCTGCCTTTAAAAACAGGCCATAACCATTGACCCAGTTTTGTCCGCCTACACCCAGGCCCCCAAATCCTTTTGGTATAAAGATGATATTGTCACAGCTGCGATTCACTGAGCACCTAGGAAGAATCAGGCACTTCATGTCCATCTGATCTGTGCATTTGGTTACCTACATTTCTCAGGTGCAGAAACTCAATCCATCATGCAGTTACCTTGTCTCCAACCTGGATGTGCAGCCAGGTGTCTCTGATGCCCAAAGCTGTCACCCTACACCATGTGGCTTCCCTGTTACAACCGTTGTGAACACCCAAGGTTGAAAGTATCCAGTTCTGCCTTTGTCCAGGTGTGAGAAGTCCTTCCCTCACCTGGCCCACACTGCCAGCCAGAGAGAGCAACGAAAGAGGAAGGCCTTCGAAGGCCTGAGCCGTGGTTCCTCCATATCCTGCCTAACTGACTCTGAGAAGGTTCTTACAAACACAAGATGGAAAAATATTTATGCCTTCTGCACAGGGTCTTTGCTAGAATCAAGGGAGATTAAGAATGAAAAAAAATCATTATAAATTGCTAAGTGCAATGAAAAGGTGAAGAATTAATAGAAACATCATTTAAAACATAGGTTTTTATCACCTTTCACTTTGCAGATTTTGCCACGGTGACTGCAATGTGGTGAACGTGCAGAGAATAGACTGACGGTTGCCAGGGCGTGGGGATGGGGAACTGGGTGGAAAAAATAAAGGGATTAAGAAGTACAGACTAGTAGTTACAAAATAGTCACAGGGAAGTAAAGTACAGGATAGGGAATGTAGTCAATAATATTATAATAACTGTATATGGTACCAGGTGGGGACTGGGAATATCGGGGTGGGGAGATCATGTTGTAAAGTACATGATTGTCTCGCCACTATCCTGTACACCTGAAACTAATACAAAATAATATTGAATGGCAACTGTAATTGTAAAGTAAAACTTAAAAAACAGCATTAAAGAGAATATTAAAAAAAAAAAAAGAAACAGCAGAGACGTGGGGTTTAGCGAGGGTGGAAGGAGCACTGGACAGGGTGAGACCTCGATTCCCTCCCGGCCCTTTTGTTCACTGGCCAGACCGCAGCCTCGGGGAGGGATGCGGCTCCCGGGACCCCAGCTTCCTGTCTGGGGGAGCAAAGAGGTGGGTGGACCGCTCCGGGAGCCACTTGCATCTAGTGTCCCACAGTTGGTTTGAAATACACTTCCTCCTCTTGCCTCTGCTCACCCAAGAGGTGAGCAGTTTTCAGCACTGGCTGCCTATTAGAATCACCCGGGGAGATTTTGAAACGTATGGGTCCTACAATCCAGCCCCTGAATCTGCACAATCGGTCTATGGAGAGTCTCAGACATCAGTATTTTTAAAAGAGCTCCCAATTAGATTTCAATGTGCATCCAAAGTTGAAAAGCACCCCTCCTGGAGGGGAAAAAAAAAGTGCTTTGAAGCAGTGGAAACAGAATAAATGAGGCCTTGGTCTCTCCTGAGCTCGGGAGGGTCTCTGTCCTCCGCACATAGGCTCCTGTCCCACTGCAGTAGCCGGGAGTCCTCAGGAAAAGGGAAGAGGGAAAGGGAAGGCGCCCTGGCCCTGCATTGCATTGACCGCCCCGTCCGCGCAGGGCGCTCACCGCGGACAGCAGGGGCCAAGGCTGCGTGATCTTTTAAGCAGCTCCATTCCATTATTTTCTCCTCAACATGGAGAAGTGGGCTCATCAATAAACTGCTGCAGAAGAAGTCATTTTCTCCATCTCTTCTTTAAAAAGGAAATCTTTCAGAAAAAAAAAAATCTTGCATGTCACTTTCTTAAATTTGATGCCTTAGTAATTATGGAGATGGCCTCAGTTGGAGCCTGGCCAAAGGCATATCCCCGTGAGAAAACTGCAGGGTGTGTGGGGACGGCCTCCTAGCTGGTGTCCAGAGGACTTTGCAAGTGGCAGTGGGCCTCACACCTACTTAAACCAGCACAATTCACTGAAGAGAAGGATGAAAAAGGACTGCGGACTCCACGTGCCCAGCGCCCAGCGGCAACCCTTGCACCTGAGACCTGTCCTGTGGCTGTTTGCCCAGTGTTGCTTATGTTTGACGACTCCGTGCCTTCTGGATCCCGGGGGGCCCTCCTCCTGTTACCGGCTCCAGGAGGCACGACGGAGATTACCCTCCCACCTCCAGCGGCCCGCCTCCCAAGCCAGCACAGAAGGCGTGTCAGGGGCGGCTTCTCATCAACTCCGTGACAGCATAATCCACCTCCCCCCTTTTCTTAATAGCAAATCAAAATAATGAGACACGTGTAGAAAAAGGGCTGGCAGGAGAGACTCCAGCCTTTCGCCTACAGTTACTGCTGAGGGGAGGCATTGTGGGTGATTTCTGTTTCCTCCTTTTTATTTATACTTTATCATCTTCCTAAAATGAACAAGCGTTGCGGTGGTGAGGAGGAGTCAAATGTTCTCCTGGAAAAAGGAGATAACCACCCGCGCAGCATCCATCTACGGGAGGGTCCAGAAGTCCCGCTCCGCGGACTGAAATTCATTCTTGGATCGATCTGAGTCCTGGGGAGCTGGAACGGCCAATGGCACTTCATCGTCACCTAAATTCACATTTTTAATAATCTAAATCTGAACTTTCATATGCTATTGCTTTTCTTTTTGCACATAACGCCTATAGGTGGAAAGAATTAATTCAGGAGCCAATCCATCCCAAAGAAGGGAGTGTTGTGGGGGACGGGGGGGGGGGGCTGGAGAGGCGGGGAGCGGCTCGTGGGGAGCAGGTCGGACCTCACCAGCAGGCAGCCTGCTTGGTGGTGCTGTTCAGAGCACGGGGCAGGTGTGAGGGAGAAGGTGTGGACCGCCGTACCAGGCCCATGTCAGTTGAATTCAGGTTGAAGTAGGCATCTTGTATTTTTTCTTTTCTAAACCTGGCAGCCCTGGACCAAGAAGATCCTCCTCCCTGCTGCCCCCCCTCCGCAGGTTAGAGCCCAACCACTGTCACAGGATGGCCCCCCGGACCCCAGCTCTCCCTCCCAGTGTCCCTCCAGGACGCTGCCAAGTCCTCGTCTCTGTCCCACGGTCCCAGTCCCACCTCCCTTCTTCACATCGGGGACCTTAAGGGCTTTCTTTGTGTGAGCAACCCAGCCTACTCTCGCGATGTCCAATGGAAACACAACTTCTCTGTCAGGGACTCCCAGGCTGTCTTCAAACTTGGAGGTCGGGGTGACGCCGAGCAGCCTGGAGGCCACCTCGGGCGCGCCGTTGCGGGGGCGGCCCAGGAACAGGCTGCAGCGCTCGGCCCGCAGCAGCCGCGCCAGCCGCTGCAGGGCCCTGTGCGCCGCCGCGTCCGCGCTGCCCGCCTCCTCCCGCAGGGCCTGGAGCAGCCCCAGGCACGGGGCCAGCCTCGGGAAGGGTCCGCTGGCCGGACCCCGCAGCCCCCTGGGCTGGGAGGCTTCCCCCGGCGCCGCCGCCCGCAGCTTCGTGGCGAAGCGGTCCTTGGCAAACCGAGGGTTGTCCTCCAGGTATCTCTCCGCGGCCTCTTGGCTAACCTCCCCCATGGCCTCGCTGGCTTTGCTGCTGTGCCTCGGAACGGAAGACCCCCCCGGACAGCACCTGGGGCGGAGGGCCAAGAAGGAACTACATCCTGGCCAAAGTTACCAGGGAGATCCTAAGTGGCACCTCATTGGAACCCCAAAGGTCAAGCAGAATGGTTGCTGAGCAGGGCTTTCAATCTGCCTGTGCTCCTTGGGATGGGACAGAAGGTCCTGGCTTAGCGTGGGATTCAGGGAGCTCAGGATTACCGAGTTCTTCAGGACACAAAATCCCTAAGCATTATTAGCTTATAAATCCTCAGAGAATCTTCGGAGCATTTTAGATCAGCCAGGCAAGCGGCAAGTCGAAGTAACCGTTCCAGAAATACAACTGCACATGATAATTCTGCAGCCAGAAAGAATCACCAACATATGCATGAATTGTTTGACAGTAGCATCGATTGACAACTTGAATCATTCTTTTAAGACAGTTATATGAAGTGAAAATACTTAGGCCTTGGATGTGTCTGTTTATAGAGCAACTCTGATGAACACCAGGGGAGACAGAAGGGATTAACATCGACACAACATAAAATGAAATATGAATGTTTCCTTTTCTTTAAAGTCCTTTGATCATCCAGGTTGCATGGCCTACTTTTCCTTTAAAATCCTCGCCTCTCAATTCTCCTCACTTTAGAAAGCTGGACCTCGGAAGTGTTTTAACAGAACAAACCTTGGGCTGATTACTAGGGAGGTGAACGTGGCGCAACATTTGCCTGTGATCCGCGCCTAACCAAGCCACGACGTAAATAACAATCCTTATCAAGAGGCATGATCACAAAAAGCAACCCACGCGGCTCCTAATTGGGTTTTCCTGCTAAGCATATTAGTTTGGTTTTTGTTTTCAGTAGTAAGAGCCAGATCTCATGCATTTTTGCTCCAAGGTACAGCTGTTAAATCTACTGGATAAAACCTGTCTTGTCAGTTGCTAGGATCTGTAATGTCTCAGGGACTTCTGGCCTGGAAAGTACACTTACCACTACTTAGTTTTGTTTAATTTTCAATTTATTAAGCTTTTACATTGATTAAGCACATTTTCCCAAATATTTAAACACTATTATGCAACTCATAAGTCAAACTACACGTTTCATGGACCAACTTCCTTAAATATTTAAATGCTGATTTCAACCTCAGTCAAGATCTTTTCAATGTTTCTGTAAAGCTACAAACTATGTAACAAACTCTCTTGAATGGAGACACACATAACATGTTATCGTGACTCTAAAAATTACTGTTATACCCACATTTAAGTTCACTTCAAAATAGCGACCCTATGGGTTTCATTTACTTCCCTAAACTTAAAGCTTTACCTCCTTATAGTGATAAAAGTCTTAGTAGAAAGAAAGAAAAAGGGATCCATTATAATAAAGAAATTCATTCGTAAACAAAGTTTTTAAGGTTATTTTCATAGATTATGGGTAAGGTTGCTTGGGAATGAAAAAGAAAGGGACAAACGTGAGACGCAGTTCCAGGCAACAGCTGACAGCGCGGGCAATTGATTGGTTAGAAAACCAAGTCAGAAGGCGGGCTCACAGGTGACTACTTTGAGCTATAAAGACAACGAGTGTTTTAAGGAGAAATCCTGGAAACCTGTCTTTTAGCTCCGGCACGAATACCCTGCCCCTTCCCTCCAGTCCTTGACTGAATCCCCCCGTCAACTCGGCTCCCCTTCCTCGGGGTGGTCCTTGCGGTCACTGGCCTGTGCTCGCAAGGCTTCTGTGGCTCTTACTGGCTGGTAGGCACTGAAAAAACAGAATTATAAAAGTATATGTATTAAAAATTACAGAACATACCACTTAGAATGAATTTTTGATGCTGCAAAATAATTGTTGATTTTGTTAAACATAAATATTTAACTTTTATGTCAGCATTTCTAGTTGATTTAAAGCATAGTTGTTTTTTTTAATAGAGCATTAACTTGTAGGGGAAATGAGAGGAAAGGTCAATATCCTAGATGTTACAGACATTAACGACCATTTGTTTTGATAAAGCATATCTGAAACAATAACTAAGTCAATATGAAGACTCCATTTCACTTACACAGAATATTCTTAGAAATATAAGTCACAAGGTAATGATAATGAACCATGATCACAGGAGTAGCTCAGATCATACTATGGAACCTGTGCCCAGCACGCTTCCAGGACCCTTATGTGTATTATCTCCTTTAATTCTTACAATAACCTCATAATGTAGGTACTATTATTACTTGTGAGAAACTGAAGCACAGAGAAATTAAATAACTCGCTCAAGGTCACAGCTAGTAAGTGATAGTGACCTACCCCAAACCTACTAGTTTAGTTAGGATTGAGTTAAAGAGCGCACCCCGAGGGGTACAACACATCGTTCTAGGTGCTTACAGGAAAATCTACAAAGACCTTTCCTTTAAGGAATTTAAAATCTAGACAGATATCATATAAAATGTCAAACACCAATACAAGAGTTAAATAAAAATTCCAGGAACTCTTTTTAAAAATCTACAGGTATACTAAAGAATGGCTTAACTTCCTCAAACTTTCTGCTTAACAACTGTACATTCCTCAGTAGTATGCTATATTAATGAACACATATAATATTTAATTCCAATTGCTAAAAATTTTCCACTGTAGTTAACTATTTCTATTGGAAATAATGCTTATAGATTAGCCAAAATTACACATGAGGTTGAAGCACCGACGCAAAACCAACAACAATATCCTGAACTAAGTATATTTCAGATCCTCATATTAAACCCACTCTTCAGCTCAACCTTAGCAAAGTTCTTCCTGCTATTTATCACCAATAGGCACCCCCTAAAGGCAGGGATATCAGGCGCTTCCTGGCAGCTAAGTGCAAAGGCCCTTTTACCCTGCCCATTTGCTCCTGAGAGAATATCTGCCTGCACCTAATTGATGGGTGTGACCATGTATGTCAGAGATTATTCATGGTGGGATCCATGTTATTTTCAACTAAATCAATTAAGTTTAGCGATGACTTTGTAACTGATGCAAAAAACCTTCTTGAAAAAATTAGTTTGACTCTTTGCACCTGAACATGTTGGCTGAGTGATCTTTTCACTTTTCCACCATTTATTTTGGCATCTTTTAAATGCAGTCAGAAGGGAAATGCTGCCCATTTTTTTCTCTCGTTCCATCTTTCTTAACCTTCCTGTCAAGATGTGGATTTAAATGTTAGTTTATACAAAAGGAAGCTGATTGGGAATGTTTAGTTTTTATAATGGTAAGGACATACATTTCTTGCATCAGATCGTCTTTCAATTATGGTAAAACATTTTTCAATATTTCCTAGGCGTTAGTGGCTCGTTTGTTGATGCTTTAGTTAGGGGAGCACTAACTTCTGTTACTGTGGGTAACCCCCAAGTCTCAGCAGCTTAATCGGATGAAAGTTTATTTCTCATCTGCATAAAGTTAATCAGTGGTGGGGGGCCCAGGTTGATGCAGGGGCCACCAGTGGGCAGAAGAGGAGGGGACAGCCAGGACAACTGGACGGCCACGAGTTTCCATGAGCCCTCTCTGCGAGTGACACAGAGCACTTTAGTCTGCCTTCCGTTACCCGAAACTTAGGCTTGTGGCCTTGCAGGGACTCAGGAAGTGGGGAGTGACGGAGCCTCTTCCCCAAAACTCTCCATCAGGGAAGAAGAGTGCAGATTATTCTGGTAGAAGGATGGTTAGCTAGCTTTGCTACGATGGCTAAATCCAGAGAAATTTTATTTTAGAAAGCATAACCTCTGACCAGGCTTTTTAAAATAAATATTTTATGAAGCTTTCCTAAAATGGTTAATTTCAATACAACAAATTAAATCAACATCTATTGACTGAGCACCTACTCTGTGCAAGTCTTCTCCAAGGAGAAGCTGGTAGGGGTGGTCACCAAGATGAATGAAACATGATCTGTCTCTCCATGAAGTATGGTACGAAAGTGAAATTTTGTTTATATTGTATGCAAATTTATAAGATGTAATTGAAAACATAATTTTACATCTAGAAAAAACTGCGAAGAAAATATTTGCTTTATATTCTGATTAAACACTTTCATTGTAGGAAAATTTGGAAACTACAAAAAGGTCAAAATAAAAAAAAAACAAAAACAAAACAAAAAACAAAACCCACACCTTTACATGACCCTAATCCTATCACACAGAGGTAATCATTGTGAACATTTTCCCCGTTGAAGTTTTATCTATATATACGCATATCTGAAATTTAATTTTATGTAAATTTCAAAGCACTAAAGTTAAAAACCTCCATTGACCTGTATTCACATATTTGTAATCATGAAGAACTTTGAGAGAGAATGCCAAAAGAGACTGTTTTTCTTGCCGGTATTTGGGACACCAAGGTTCATGATTTGTCTTTATGAGACTGACGTGCTGCCTACTGTGCTAAGGCGGCAGGTTTCATGATCTATCTTTAAAAGACAGCGATAGAGTGGGAGGAGGAACAAGTATCTAACAAATAAATGGAAACATGTTGCTGTAAAAACAACCTCTATAAAAATGCACTGAAATTCCCTACATTTACTCAATATATGGTGTGTGCAAGGACCACCAGAATACGACCTAGGAGAAATGGTTGAAAGGGCTGGTGGTATGAAGTGAACTTTTCTAGCATAATAGCTCTCCAAAGGCAGCTGGGCTCGACTGGGAGCCCTCCATCGCCGGAGGTGTTGGAGGAGAGCCTGGAAGATCCCTACTCTGGAATGTCAGAGGGGATCCAAGCTTTGGACAGGACATTGAGAGACACTCTAAAGTCCTTTCCCACCTACGATGCATAGATACTACCACAGGTATGACCACACACATAGTCCCTGCAGGAGTGGCTCTGGAGGAGACTTTATCTGAACTGGTGGGATTTTACACCCTGTGATAAAGCTGGCTGAACCAGAAGATCTCCTAGTTAAAGGTTGGCCAGAAACAGGGTTCTCCTAGCTCCGGGGCAGTACGGAGTTAAATGCACATCATCCCTGAC